CATGGGTTTCATAATCTGAAATAGCGTTGATGGTTTTTGACAGCGAAAACTGTTAAAGGACATGCACACAGTTTGCCAAGAATTATTATTTCTCCTATTCTGTAGAAAAACAATGTTACCTTTGTGTCGCTGTGATAGCTGCCGTGCGTCAGCATCCGATGTTGATGTAACTAAGAGTCTATGGAGGTTTAGGAAGTCTCCACACAATCAACAGTTTGTTATTACTGATTGTTGGATATCGGGCAAGGGGTGGTTCACTGACGCGTGTAATAACTGATCATATGTTACAATATTAGTGCAGTCTACATTCACATTATTATCGATGTTCCTGTATATATTTTCCCACGTACATAAGTTAACAATTATTGGCATCAAAACTACTTATAGAACAATAGACAGAACAACAAAAGAACAATACATTTCATTATATCACATAGATTTTGAAATCCATATTTTGAAAATATTTAAGCGGCAACATCGTGACAAGGTGACAAGGTAGTTACCAGCTGTGATATTGCTGAAATTTTGCCACGCAACGCTGTGATCATTATCGTAATGATTAAATCGTAGAAAAAATATATTTACGAATTAATTAATTGTTACCAATTATTCTCCCATACAAAGCATTCAGAGCATACAAAGGCCAACTGAGTCTTTCATACTTCAATTCCCCTACCAAACTGGTTTGCAAGGGCCAGGTACGACCTTTTCATGATCTGCCTTTCGTTGTAGAATAGTTAATTGGGAATATTGTTGACTTTGGTATTAGTCAACAGGTACCAGTCAAATTGACCCAGATACAAAATGCCCCAGCAAATTTGGTCCAAATGCCCCAGAGTCTTGGTCAAATTGCCCCATGTTCGGGCAAATTGACCCAAGTGGGTAGTCAAAATGCCCCAACTTATTCAAGATGATTACATATGTGCCATAAATGCATAGTTTTTATCAACTTTAATTTAAAAATATTATCATTTCATATATTGTCTAAATATTTACCGGAGAGCGGAAGGTCGCGGGTTCGATCCCTGACCGCGTCATACCAAAAGACGTTATAATATGGTACTTGTTGGTCTCTGCCTGGCGCTCGGCATTAATGGGTACAACAAGGACTGGTCGGCTCGGAGTCAGTATAATGTGTCTGAGTGGGGTATTCCTGCTTCACTGCGGCATGGTATCTCAGTGGGCTAGCACTATAAAACCAGCTTCAGTCTGGGCTAGTACAAGCAGCCGCACATACACATACACACGCATGCACGCCGTCATATGAGCGAAATATTCTCAAGCACGACTCAATTTCACCTCACCTAAATATTTACCAGCTACCAGATATTTTGTAACACTGAGCACATGTCTCCAGCCATGTGCTACAGCCATTGAAAACAACCACTCTGCATCACTCTGTTTCCTGGCAGCTAAGATAATCTCCAATGTATTAAACATGTTAACATGAGGGTCTGTTATCAATGTTCAGGAAATAGACTTTGTAATAACGTAGTGCTGAATCTATGAGTGTGTGTATTTTCGAGAATCTGGTGAGTAGTGACATCTTTCTTGGACTCTCTGGTCACGTCGCTTCTACTTTAATGATCTGTGACATACGCTGACTTGGTTGACACATGTCAACGGTTCCCAATTGCGCAGTCGATGCAAATGCCACCCTGACACTTGGACGAATTTTGTCCCCGCACTGCCGCGCAATTCGTCGTGGCAATGCGTGTAATTTAGGTGGTACGCATGAAAGCGTGAAGCATAGTTTGCGCACTGTTTGCGTCCTGCTTACGCATAAGTTACGCACTTGGCATGCAATGCGTGACCGAAAATGGTGCGCATTGTCACGCATTGACACGCTATCGCACGACTTATTTACGACTAGGTCAAGTATTGTTGGGGCATTTTTACGTCTAGTGTACGACATGGTACGCACGACGCGCATAGTTCCAGCATGGGCATGCATTGCCACAACCACGTCGCGCATGCGTGAAGCAGTCGTGGTATTATTTGGTCCCGCTTTGTCCAGCTTGCGCCACGCTATATAAATAGCAGGCATCACCCCAGCTTTATGCATTGCTGTGGACCTACACATGTTGAACACTAGAGAACAAGCTCTTATTGCAGAAAAGAAAAGGTGTCTATATCTCGCGGGTGCAGCACTACTACTTCTTGAAGCATGCAGCAAGAGCAGGAGCAGGCCCAGATGAGTGAGTGAGTGCTCTCTTGGTTTAAGATAGTAGCAATATTCCAGCCATTCGGCGGGGACACCAGAAATTAACTTACGACTATCTTAGCGCTAAGAGAGCTTCGAAAATCTGGGCCCAGGCCAAAGAAGAAGACGTAACCCCAACTAGAAAAAGCAAGGACAGTGTGGGTGAGGGAATGGTTGACCAGAAGACATCACTTCGGACATTATGATCAGTTAATGACAGAACTCCATCCAAGAGGCTACAGAAATTACCTGGGAATTTCCCCCGACTTGTTCCAAGACATGGTGGAGAAGTTAACCCCTCATCTTGAGAAGAAGACCACATTCATGAGGAGGTGGGACTCAAGCTGGCAACCATTCTTCGCTTCCGAGCCATTGGTAATTCCTATGCAAGTCTTCAGTACAGCTTCAGAGTTGCAAGTTCTTACCAGAAGTCTGCAAGGCCACCATTGAGGTCAACAAGGACGAGGTACTCAGGTGCCCCAAAACTGAAGAGGAGTGGAAGGAGGTTGCTGAAGGTTTTAGTTGCAGATGTAACTTCCACAACTGTCTGTGGGCTGTAGACGGCAAGCAAGTTGCTATGAAGAAGTCACCCAAAGCTGGGTCATTCTACTACAATTATAAGGGCTTCCACAGCATTGTACTCATGTAGATGCTGGATACAAGTTCTTGTATGTTGATGTTGGGGCAGAGGGTGGTGCTTCAGATGGAGGAAATGGAAGAACTGTACTTTGCATGAAGTTGTCGAGGACAACCGAGCCAGACTGCCAGGACCAGCCCCACACCTAATGATGACAAGCCTGTGCCGTATCATTTCGTAGCCAATGACGCATCTGCACTCAGAACTTGAGCAATTACATTGATAAAATGCGATTAATAAATATTTGTTTGGTGGTTTTTTGGTGTCTTTTTTTTTGGTTGTTGTGGACCATGACGTTTCAGCAACACAGGCTCTAATGCCTGTTAATTACTGTAATTACTATGCTCTAAATTCGTTATGTAAAGAAACTCAATAAAGAAAGTGATTTTATTTCTTCTTTTTTTGAAACACACCTACTTATGCGAAAACATAACATATATAAATTATCTACAAGTGAACGATTAAGTTAAAGATATGTACACCGTCAGAGTCGGGGGTCATGAGGGGAGTGTCCATATCCTTGGAATAAGGTGACAGCCCAATACTACTGTCCGCTGAACCTGAAGAAATATCCTTCTCCCTCTCCGAGACCTCTGTCTCTATCCCTCTCTCTGCCTTTGTTTCTTGTCCGGTCTCTTCTTAGAGTCTTCTATCCACTGCTGGTCCTGCTCTTCCTCTGCTTGTCTTCTTCTTGGCAGGCATCTTGTTGACTGTTCGCTGTCGAGTTGAGGAATGTGGGGACTGGCAATGGGCACGCTTTTATGTACGCACTGCCGAGTGCGCAGTCGTCGCTGATTCGTGCGCCAACAATGCGTGAAGTAGGCTTACCTAATGCGTATCAATTTCGTGACATGCACAAAAAATTCGTGCTGTGTGCAAACTATGCGGGAACCCGTCGTGCCATGACCACGTGAACAAGTCGTAACAATACACAAGTCCCGCCCGCCCACTTCACGACTAGTTAGATGGCGTGAACTTTGCGCAATCTGTCGCGACCATGTCTGGAATATTCCAGACATTAAACTATATTGCAGTAGTCTAGCCTAGAAAGTATAAGGGAGCAGACCCAGGCAGCTGCGGCATCCTTGGTTATCAGGTGTCTGATGGTGCCGATATTCCTGAGATGGAAATGACATACTCTGCAAAGTTCTTGTACTTGTTGCTCCATGCTCAGATTGGAATCCATGAGAACATCAAGATTCTTCACTACAGGGAATGCTTTCTTGGTCAACTGAAAGGTGTGTTTCTTTCACCTTTGTCAGTATGGCACCAGTCCCAACTAACATTGCATCAGTCTTGCTCTTGCTTAGCTTCAGCTTGTTGGATGTCATCCTGGATCCTGTCTGCTCTGTGCAGTTCTCCTTCTTGCTTAGAGTTAGATTTGGGTCTTAAACAATAAAGCTCTCTGGTCACGTCACTACTGCAGCAAGCTGTGACATACATCAGTCCCTGAACTCTGGTCACGTCACTTCTACTGCAGCAAGCTGTGACATACACCCATCCCTTGACTCTCTGGTCACGTCACTTCTACTGCAGCAAGCTGTGACATACACCCATCTCTCGACTCCCTGGTCAAGTCACTTCTACTGCAGCAAGCTGTGACATACACCTATCCCTGGACTCTTTGTTCACGTCACTTCTACTGCAGCGGGCTGTGACATACACCCATCCCTCACTCTCTGGTCACGTCACTTCTACTGCAGCAAGCTGTGACATACACCCATCCCTCACTCTCTGATCACTGTCACTTCTACTGCAGCAAGCTGTGACATACACCCATCCCTCGACTCTCTGGTCACGTCACTTCTACTGCAGCAGGCTGTGACATACACCCATACACCTATCACAAGACTCTCTAATCAAGTCACTTCTACTGCAGCAAGCTGTGACATACACCCATACACCTATCACAAGACTCTCTAATCAAGTCACTTCTACTGCAGCAAGCTGTGACAAGCTACTTCTACTGCAGCAAGCATACACCCATCCCTCGACTCTCTGGTCACGTCACTTCTAGTGCAGCAAGCTGTGACATACACCCATCCCTCCAATCTCTGGTCACGTCACTTCTACTGCAAGCTGTGACATACACCCATACACCTGTCACAAGACTCTCTAATCAAGTCACTTCTACTCCTGAACTGACAACAAAAACACAGGTTCTGTTACTTATTTTATATACAGTGTATACATGGTATATATTTATACAAAGAAAATAGCTGACTTCACTGTGAGTCTTGTATATACAGGTCTCCACATGCAGTCAGTGGACGGCAGAGATGATGATGACTGATGATGGGAGACTGACTATCTGGGCACTCCAGCCAAACACTGGAGTTGTAGTGGACTTCATAAAAGCAAACAAAGTTAGGATAACACGGAGTTCTGTCAATATATCAACTGGCATGCTGTACAGAATTCAAATATTAGTTTGTTCTTACTGTTTACAAAGTATAAAAGGTATATAGCTACTATGAAGGTGCCAAACCCTGTGTAGCCATCCAGTGTTAGCACTGTAAAGAAAGCCCACTGTACACAGCTGGTACAGGTAATTAGAACTGGATTTCACATTAACTCATGTGCTTATACACAATACAGCAAAACGATTTTTTTTGATTGGCAAACAAAAAAGGAATTCATGAATTTCAGCACTGAACTTTTGGCAGCTGCATACCAGACAAATATATGACACCCAGCATACTGCACTGTGACATCAGGAATACCAGTTAACAGGTCTTGGTATCCGGTATACAAAAGGACTGGCATCCCCTACTATAGATAATACATTTACAAGTATTTGAAGTTATTCCTGTCATTTCCCAAAAGGAGAACTTTCATTATAATAAAATCATCTTTAAAACTGTCCATTAATTCCAGTCTACCCAGGTGTGACTAAAATGTGTAAAATATCTAGTATATAAGAAAAAACTTCTAAATGCTCAAGACTAAAACAAGACTCAACATAGTACTGTATGTTTAACAGTGGAAACAAACAGATATCACAGACATACTCATAATTTAAGTCGTAAAATATACAACACACCACTTGTGTCTCTCCAGGGAGGCACAACAAACAATGGCTAAAAGAATGTGGGCAACAGGTGAGGCAACATGTGATGCAAGTTTCCAGGAATTTGCAGAAAGTGACTTCCTGTTCAGAGAAAAAAGGTGTGTATAAGGCCAGATTCAACAATTTTTTTGCAGAGCCACTAATCATTTTCATATCTAAAATAAACTAAGAATAAACTAACGGCTTTAATGGACATTTAGAAAAGTTCAGATTTATGTTGGAACAAGAACTGGCTGATGTGTTTCACATAACATGTCCATGAATGTGTGAGTCTTTTAGACAATACCTAAGACGTTAGTATCCCTGTCAAACGTTGAGTGGTATATATGTATGTGTGTGCTACACTTCTTACAATCTGTGACAAATACATATGCAGAGTGACAAACATTAAACTTCATTCTTTGTTATTTGAAAAAGTGAGAGTTAACACATTGAGATATTTTGAAGACTCATGTCACATGTGAGAAAGTGAGAATTTCTGAGTCTTATGTCACAGGACAACACAAAAACAGTTGAAAGTGAGACCTTGCAGAATATTAATACGTTCCCTGAACAAAATATGACATCATGATGCGAAAGTTGACCAAAGGAAGATATAATTGAGTTTCAGAGGAAATGACAATTGGAATTCTATGTGTTCATTGAGTCTGAGGTAGAGATAACTTCGTCACATCAGTTCTGTGCCTGACGTGATAATCAGCTTCAACAAGTACCATAAACTTGACATGATTCACCAAAATGTCAAATCCCCTCTCTCTTCTTCTTCCATTGCAGGTCGAAAATGAATATCGAAGAAAAAATAGATATCATAAGTTATCATGATTCTCAACTACTTACACTTCCACACATAAAAACACAATTCTAGTCTCACTATATGAGCTTTATAGTATTCAAGTGGCTCTCTATCCTAATAAAAAAATCGGTTTAGTTCATTCTTCCTGTATGTATTTATACAATAACCATGGTAATATGACTGTGTGTGACTACCTCTGTGGTTACCAGATGGCTGGGGCATCTTCCTAATATTCAACAATTTGCGACAGTTTTGGGAAGAAATCATAATGATGAATATTTAACTCTTTGTAACTGGCATTGAGCTTCAATAATGATTCAATAATGATTCAGTGACTTCAAGTGATTCAGTATATGCATTATCATCTCTAAATCTACAAGGTATCAATAATATGTTGGATTTAAAGGGGTCTAAGTGTCCTTGATGTTTTCTCCTGCAGTATCTTTTTCTAGGTATATTTTAGACTTATATTTATACCAAGGACCCCTTGACTTTCAGGCTTAATTTCAACACTGATGTATATAAAAAATCATTTCATTTTCTGTGATAATAGTGTAAAGTTACATTAACAAAATATTTATTGTTTTTCAACTTTAATATTAATGTATATAACAAATGTAATCCTTGAGACAAATAACAACTTTCATGTCAGAAAATAATCCATACAAACTGTAGACATGCATAATGTAGAAAATATTCAAGTATGTGTGTGCACCTCGTGTTGTTGCAGTCAAGATGACAGACAGCATCAAGGCACTATTGAACGTATAGGAGACGTGGGCATTGAGATAGCACTGTCTCCGAACACATTAGCGTAAGAGTTTTTCAGGAACTGTACATAGTTCTGCATGCTTCTGTTGGTGCTGTGAGACTGTTCCAGCCGATCCTTCAGGTCATACATTCGGGAGTTGAACTTGCGCTCATTCTGTTAACAGGACAAGATGTTGTCAGATGTCAGAAACTCTTGCAAGCATCTTTAAAACCTTCTGTGAGTACACATCCGTCAGTTTATAATATAACATGGTTGTTAAACTGAGTTGAAGATTATAAGATGCAATATCTTAAAAACGTCAGTACAATAATAAGAATATGCCTATACAACTTCAGTCACAGCAGCATCTCATTATTATTTCAGTAAGATATTCCTCCATTCAACTGTTATTATAGCTGTATCAAGTTCATGTCAGCGCTTCACTGGTTCGATTCCCCACATGGGCACAATGTTATTGTTGTTGTTTAATGTAAAACCCAACTCAGCAATTATAGCTATATCAAGGCATGTCAGGTGTGTCGATGGTTTTGTTGTTGTTTAATGCCGCACTCAGCAATTTTCCAGCTATATGATGGTGGTGTGCAAATAATCGTGTCTGGAACAAACAATCCAGTGATCAACAGCATGAGCATTGTTCTACCCAACTGGGAACCGAGTCTTATGACAAGCATGGTTACTGAAGACCAATTCTAACCCGGACCTTCACAGGTCTTCGGTTTCATGAGCGAGCGAGCGAGTTTGGTTTTACGCCGCTTTTAGCAATATTCCAGCAACATCACGGCGGGGGACACCAGAAATGGGCTTCACACATTGTACCCATGTGGGGAATCGAACCCGGGTCTTCGGCGTGACGAGCCAACGCTTTAACCACTAGGCTACCCCACCACCCCTTCGGTTTCATGAGTGAGGGAGTGACTTTAACAGTATTTCAATCAGTCATATCACAACATAGCTTAAGAGGTAGAAGGCTCTAAGAGACACACATCTTTGCCTTTTTTTTATCAGCAATGGCGAGGCTGTTTTCAACTACGGAGAAGAAAAGTAAAACACATCTGACTCAGTGTTTCAGTGGAAGTGAGACCCTCTCGTCACCTACAAATGTTACACAAATGACTGAAGACACTCACCTCCTCTTTCTCTCGTTTCACTCTGGCGATCTCTGCTCTTAGCTGACTTAGCTGAGACTCTAGGTCTGCGATACGACTCTGGTATGTACGTTCCTGCAACACACACCTTTCACTTTACCAACAAACAGAGACTATTCCACATATAAAATACCTCATGTGCACATTTTCTTCCATTTGCTAAAATTTGTGCTTAGTAACAGAGAGTTTATCATGTTTTCAAACATATATTTTTATTAAAATCTTGCAATATTTTAAAAAGATAAATAAGACCCATAAATATGATGGTGATGATGAACTAAATTTCTCCTCTTCTTTATTACATTTCAACTCATAATGGGTGATGTTGTTAGGTGTTTTTTCTTTTTAGCCTCATCTCTTTTCAGCCCAATTGTTCTTTGTAAATGATGGCTACTGACCTTGGAAGACATGCGGTCCCTGGCCTGGTCCTGGTGGCGACGGATGTCCGTCAGGGCATTCTCCAACTGACGGGTCAAGCTGCCGTTCTCTCGTGTCTTCTCCTCCAGGCGGAGCTGAAAACACAAATCCCATTCGTTTTATTTGTTTGTTGATTTGGTTGGTTGTTTAATGCTGTATTCAGTGATGTTCCAGCTATATGTATGTGGTCAGGAAATAACTGATATTGACCAAACAATCCAGTGATTGACATCATGAGCATTAATTATGTAATTGGGACACAATGACATTCATCAACTACATAGGAGACTCTGACCACATGATCAAGACAGCCAACCCTTACCAGCATGGGTTGCTGAAGACCAGTTCTAACCTAGGACTTGATTGGTTCCCAGAAGACCAGTCGGAGGGCACAGGGACCACTAAAACATTTGTTTGTAATGTTTGTTTGTTGTTTTACGCCGCACTCAGCAATATTCCAGCCATATGGCTGCGGTCTGTAAATGATCGAGTCAGACAATCCAGTGATCAACAGCATGAGCATCAATTTACACAACTAGGATACGGTGACATGTGTCAACCAAGTCAGTGAGTCTGACCACCCGATCCCGTTAGTCGCCTCTTACGACAAGCATAGGTTGCTGAAGACTAATTCTAACCCGGATCTTCATAATGGCTAGACCAGAGTTGAGTAAGTGCACCAACACAATATACAACATGTTACTGACCAGATAAGACAGACTTCTACATGTGAGACACCTACATTGTTTTGATGAATAGACTCCTCCCTCTTGGCGATGGATGCTATCAGCTCTCGATTTTGATCCTCAACCTCTTTCAGCTTTCTGTGAATCAGACAGTAACATGATTATTGATCTGACATGTTGAACACATCAGCAATGGAGAGGCTATGTTTTCAAGGACATTCAACAAGCCAAGATATCAGCCAGCTTGGAGTCAAAGTGAGTCAAGTGAAGATACAACAAGAAGACAAAGTCATCAATATCCCCCGCAATGGTAAAATACTCTTCATGATTATGTCTACGAGTTATGATTATGTCAAATATTTAGGTGTGTATATAGAAAAGTGGAAGGAGAGTATTGAAAGGTTTTGAAAGTTCTGCTCCAGAAAGGAACACTATCACCAATTTCAGTCTAAGTCAAACTTGTTGCCATGGAAATGACAAAATATTTTATTCAGAATTCCAAAACTACCAAAAGGCACCAGTACACCACCAGATCTATGTATGTGCCAAGTTTGGTGAAGAAATAGTGAATGGTTTTAGAGTTCTGCTCCGGAAAAGAGCACTACCACTAATTTCAGGCTAAGTCAAACTTGTTGCCATGGAAACGCCAAAAATATTTTATTCAGAATTTCAAAACTACCAAAAGGCACCAGTACACCACCAGACCAATCTATGTGCCAAGTTTGGTGAAGAAATAGTGAACGGTTTTAGAGTTCTGCTCCGGAAAAGACAAATGTGCACGGACGAACGGACGGACGCACGGACAGAGTCCATTTTAATACCCCCCGAAAAACGCGTTGCGGGGGATAAAAACCACCTAGCCATCATCAGAAGCAGGTTTGTTATGGTACAACAACAAAGGTGGAAGACCAAAGTGTCTAAGGATCAAAACCAAGTTAAGTGCAGGGCACTTCATGATGCATAGAGCAACTGTTCATATTATAGTGTTAGTGTGTCATGAAAAAAATGACAGTGAAAGGAGTAGGGGCAGTGAGGGAGGTCCCAAAATGAAATTATATCAACAATTAAAAAATAATAGTTGAATTGACATGGAAAAATTGTAACTGTTCTATTTCTGTAAATTTTTAAATTTGACCATTATATACGGACTGGTAGAACCCATCCTATATTAAATGACCAGTCCCTTGCTAGATTTTCAATTGCATACAAGAAGGTGCATGACAGCATCATCATAATAATAACAGGCTCCAAGAATCAGCTTGAGACTTCCATTTTCCATACCATGCATCTGAATTAATTAAAACAATTCCTAATCATTCCAAATTATTAGAGGTCTGCTTGTGATTACAGCATCAGTGACCTCCCCTGGTACTCACTTGTCCATCAGTTCAACCCTGCTAGCCAGCGTTCGGTTCTCGTCCTGTCCACCGTGCATCTTGCCTCTTATCTGATCCATCGTGTTGGTCAGTTGCTCCACCTGGTGGGGTATGACAGAACTATTCAAGACTGGCATGTTTCATTTTTAAGATCACTATGCATCTGGGCTCACATAGACTTAAATTTGTTGGTGCAAAACATACATGTCACATTAATTATAATGTCAGATAAAGTCAAACAGTTTCAGAAACTCTTATGTTGATCAGGTTTGGTTTGGTTTGGCTGTTGTTTAACGCCCCATGCAGCAATATTCCCGCTATATGGAAGCGATCTATAAATAATTGAGTTTTGACAAGACAATTCAGTGATTAAGTGTCAATGAGCAAGCCTGACCAGGTTCTTGAAAGGCATATAGAAGTATAAGACAAGTATAAGACAAAGTATTATGGATGTCAACTTCTTTTTTATTGTATACACAACGTTTCTGGGCTTTTCCTTGCCCCTTCGTCAGGTGAATGATGTAGGGGCAAGGAATAGCCCAGAAACGTTGTGTCTACAATAAAAAAGATGTTACGTCTGATCATCCGAACCCGTTAGTCTACAAATAATGTAGAAGTGAGAGGAATTCAGTGTATTTTGAAGACACATTAACAGTTTTTCCTGAATCAGACTGTAAAAGTTGCTGTTAAAGTAGTGGAACAAGATAAAAAGAATTTGTTTACAAATTTTGAATAATGAAATCTGACCATTGGTATTTTGTAAAAATGACCGTGACAAAAGGCCCCAGCTGGGGAGTCATGACTACCACCCACTTCAAGAAGCTAGGACAAAGTACCTTGGCCGTGAGTTCTGCAATGAGCTTGGTGTTGTCAGTGTTCTTGCGCTCATAGGCCAGCAGCTGATCTGTGGCATCCTGCAGCTTGAACTCTGTCGTGTGCGTAGCAGCTCTGGCAACGGTTCCAACTCTAATAGACGCTGGTTCAGACGAAGCTTCACCTGGAGGCAATAATTGACAATCATCAACATCATCACCATCACCATCACCATCATACCTGCTGTCTTACAGGCTTTTCAAGAAAAAGAAAATGCTTCAGGTACCATCAGGCTTCAGGTGCTCTAACCATCACCCTTGATGTAGGACTGTACACTCAGCTACTCACCTTTTCTAGCTCCAGTGCTCTAACCATCACCCTTGATGTAGGACTGTACACTCAGCTACTCACCTTTTCTAGCTCCAGTGCTCTAACCATCACCCTTGATGTAGGACTGTACACTCAGCTACTCACCTTTTCTAGCTCCAGTGCTCTAACCATCACCCTTGATGTAGGACTGTACACTCAGCTACTCACCTTTCTAGCTCCAGTGCTCTAACCATCACCCTTGATGTAGGACTGTACACTCAGCTACTCACCTTTTCTAGCTCCAGTGCTCTAACCATCACCCATGATGTAGGACTGTACACTCAGCTACTCACCTTTTCTAGCTCCAGTGCTCTAACCATCACCCTTGATGTAGGACTGTACACTCAGCTACTCACCTTTTCTAGCTCCAGTGCTCTAACCATCACCCTTGATGTAGGACTGTACACTCAGCTACTCACCTTTTCTAGCTCCAGTGCTCTAACCATCACCCTTGATGTAGGACTGTACACTCAGCTACTCACCTTTTCTAGCTCCAGTGCTCTAACCATCACCCTTGATGTAGGACTGTACACTCAGCTACTCACCTTTTCTAGCTCAGTGCTCTAACCATCACCCTTGATGTAGGACTGTACACTCAGCTACTCACCTTTTCTAGCTCAGTGCTCTAACCATCACCCTTGATGTAGGACTGTACACTCAGCTACTCACCTTTTCTAGCTCCAGCTCTAACCATCACCCTTGATGTAGGACTGTACACTCAGCTACTCACCTTTTCTAGCTCCAGTGCTCTAACCATCACCCTTGATGTAGGACTGTACACTCAGCTACTCACCTTTTCTAGCTCCAGTGCTCTAACCATCACCCTTGATGTAGGACTGTACACTCAGCTACTCACCTTTTCTAGCTCCAGTGCTCTAACCATCACCCTTGATGTAGGACTGTACACTCAGCTACTCACCTTTTCTAGCTCCAGTTCCCCTTCTTGCTGAAGGCGGCCATTTTCTTTTTCCTTTACATCCAAGTGTACACTGATCTCATCTGCTTCCCGGCGAGATCGGTTCAGCTGGAATAGAATAACGCTATCTCATCATACCCTCATTGCATCTGCACCCTCTTTACTCAAACTGTGTCATGACTGTCTTGAAATATTGATGACCTACATGCCCTCAGTGAAGAATCCACATGGACAGTGCAAATCTTCAGGCACCAACATGTTCAACCACTGGGCCAAAGCTACAGTGTCCAGAGAGGACACAAGTAACTCCACAATCTACTGAAGCTGGTGCCAGTAGACTCACACGATAAAACTTGTAATACTGTGTCTACCACACAGCATGAGTGGAATAACGACAATTGACACGATGGGTCTGAACTCACAACAACACAGCCAGTTGTTGCCCACTGAGATGAGGCCTAGACACAGTGTAGGCCAATTACCTCAGTCCAACTCCATCATTCGTAGTTCTCTTACATCATTCCTGGTCTCAAATTTGAAAAATGACAGCAAAATAAAACTTAGCACACTGTGGGGACTAACCACAAACCCAATGTTCCACAATTGTGAACACATTACAGATGACAAGTTGTACAAGGGAAATACATGGATCCCTGTCCAGTATACAAGAATGTCCTCTGAAATAGTGATGAGAACAAGCTGCCACTGTCTGTGTAAAACATGTGAAACCTTAGTAGCTCACATATTAACATTTTCATTTCTGTCTTGTAATTATAGTCAAAGTCTAAGTTTATTCTCTTTGCAGAGACCTAGTTTGTTTTGTCTGACATTATTCCAGAGTCATCCTAGACAGCTAGAGCTGCATGAACTTTTAGAAACTGAGGAGAACTACAGTTTCTCAAGAAAAGCAAACAAAAAGGTTTCAAAAGCAATTGATAAAAAATAAGAGCAATAAAATAATACAAATTAAACTAAGTTCACTACAACATGCAGGACATTCTACATCCTTACTACCAACATGCACATTACAGCCTGCCAACTAATGTTTTACCTAGTGGAACTTCAACCTCATTAAAATCAGAGCTCACAGCCAACTAGGGCACTGGGGTCTGATTTTACTGAGATTGAGTTGATGTTTTACATGCAAAATGTGAGAAGCACTACCTGGCAATACCTGGAGCCATCTTGTCAAGTTAAGAATGTTACAACATACCCTTCCACCGAGCACAGAGAAGACCCGACACAATGTGTTATGTGTGTGATGGATTTAGATAATTATCACTGCTATACTGGGAAAACACAATCTTGCAGAGCAGTCACAAGTACCAAGACATTGAAGATGCAAGAGCAACATAGAAATATTTATGGCTTTTTAAATTGACTAAGAATATCTTGACATACGTATACGCTTATCTAATGCATTATTGTATCTGCATATTCCATCATAACCTTGAAGCAGGAGCTACTTGCTATGTGTGTTTCTCAAGTGCACTGTGACATACACAGTCAAATTACAGACATCGTGAATTTTAAAAAAACAACATCCAAAAATAATTATTGTATTTTTTTAAAATATAATATTACCTGCACTGATTGTATTCACACTATAGTCCGTTTGGCTCAAAAGCGGACCGATGAATTGCAATCTAACTCGAAAACTAATAAACATAAAATACTCAATGAAACGCTGATCATTATCAAAACATCATACCAACTCTGTGAGGTTTTTGCAGAATTTTTGTCCTAAAAATAATAATGTTGTTTAACAAACTATCATTAAAATATTGACACAGTTCACTGTTTGTTACGAGGGAGGACTGCAGAGAAAGGGACAGCCAGGTGTTCAAGAAGCACGCGTTCACAGACAAAGTTATTTATTCATTAACCTGTGCTGTGCGTCTCCATCCGCTCTCCAACACCTGGCTGTCCCTTTCTCTGCACTCCTCCCTCGTAACAAACAGTGAACTGTGTCAATATTTTAATGATAGTTTGTTAAACAACTTTATTATTTTTAGGACAAAAATTCTGCAAAAACCTCACAGAGTGGGTATGATGTTTGATTATGATCAGCGTTTCATTGAGTATGTGATGTTTATTAGTTTTCGAGTTAAATTGCAATTCATCGGTCCGCTTTTGAGCCAAACGAACTATAAACAATATTGAAAATCAACCTGAGTAAACATGGTTTGAGTGACAAAACAGTGAATGTGTAGAAACAGTGCAATCAACATTTGAGTCTGTATTCATTCATAGTGCAGGTGGTAAGGAAACATCAGTGTACAACGGTGATATTTCGTGTAAAACTGTGATTTTTGTGACAAAGTAAGAATTTGTGTAATGTACACAAGAATGGATGTGACATAAAAAGAACAAGGTCAGGTGAGGGAAACTTTCTGGACCACAGGAATTGACAAATATAACATCTGTCCAAAAAGACAATTCAAATAACTCATAGCAGCATATTTTCTAAAGACTTTCAAGTTTTGAATTTATAACAGAGGCATGACCAAACTGTATGCATACGTAAACAGTTGTTGTTTTGAGAGCATCAAAACCTTTATCAGAAGCAAGTTCTTGATTCAAGCTTAATTTTTAGGCAATAATTCTGAAACAGTTCCATTTTTTCTTCAAGAAGATTGAAAAAAAAAAATGTTAAAATTCCAAAAATTTACAACTGTTTTACCAACCCAAAAATGTCAGTTCTATTGGGCTGAAACAAACCCTCAACAGCTTCCCATCCTATCTCAAAAACATGTAGAGCAGCAGTGATTCATAGTGGTGGTCCGATTAATTGAAATAATCGAAGATTGGTCGCAGTGACTAAACGACCAAGCAATCGATCATGTTCTCTCATAATCAAACACAAACAATTCTGGAACACTTGTTTTCATAAACAATATTTTTCACAAGGTTGGTTTTGTCTGTTACATTTCATAAGCACAACAAGCTCGTTTCAAGTCATGATTGAATTTATCTTAAAGACTCCAAGAAATTTATGTTCCTGACATACTAGTCATCCTTTAAAGATGTGAAATTTTGCCAAAAAGCCCAAAAGAACTACATGTTTTTTCCATATTTTTATGTGCATTAACAATTTTCATAAATGACGCTAACCAATTTTTTTCGATGATTGATCGGTTGTAATAAACCAATCATCAATTATGAGATTTTAACCAATTCCCAACACTAGTGATTCATCACTGTAAACACTCAATGACATGGTGGTCGTTAAACAGCTGAACAAGACTAGAAGTTTTGTTAACGAGCATACTGGGTACCATATAAAAAATGAAAATCTAAACAGCATTAAGAGAAATTTGCATGCTCTATTTCCAACCCACCCTCCTACAAACTGCAAGCTTTAAGCATAAGATATTAAACACTGAGTATAGAATATCACTAAAATTGATATGGATTCTAAAAGATTGTTTGCTCGTTTGTTTCTTGTTAAAAGTCGCGACTCGGCAGTATTCCAGCTGTATGAAGTTTGTAAATAATCAAGTCTGGACCACACAATCAAGTGACTGATTTTTGAAGCCACAATGAAAACTCTTGGTGTACAATGACATGCCCCCATGTCAACAAGCACTACGACTATCGTAAGTATTGGAGTTATGGCCCCTTAGAGCTGTGGATACTGTGAATGAGTGCCCTACTTGTAATAAGGTATGACAATAAATGCTGGTTCTTCATATTGCTGATATGTTCATCTGACAATACAATTTAAACACGATAAAGGCATTTCATTGAGGATTACTTTCGATAGTAACAGGAAAGAAAAGGCTTTGAGAAAAAGACATTATTTACAAGCAACAACATTGAACTATCTTCTAGCACTGACAATGAGAAGGAAAATGAGTGCACACACTTGAACATGCACAACCACTTCCGCACCAACACACGCCTCCTGCACACACAACTGCACCGCATGCACACTCAACAACTTACCCGGGTGGAAACACTGCGACTATAACCTGGGGACTTTGGAGGAAAAACACAAATGTTGATGTAACAATGCATGCAGGAGACAACGGTTGCATTCTAGGATTTGGGAGATTGGGGAGGGCATCGCTTGGGACCATTTGCAAATAGCAATCTTAGTGCTATGATTATCACAAGTCTATGTTTAAGCAAGGTAGTTACGATCGTTGAAGCACTAAGATCACTTTTTGTAAAGTGGGTCCATGGACCCATTTGAGAACTGATTGTAGGTAACTCCCATACTTTAACTCAGACTTACGACAGTCGTAGCGCTACGATCGCTGAGTGAAACTGGCCCCTGGACTGTAAAACCAATAAAATACATAGCAAGCACTGTTTACATAAGAAATAGCACTAAAGGCTTTTTTCCAAACTAAGTGCCCTTGGAAGGGGGAAAAGTACTTATGTTCAAAATAAGAGCTTTTATTCAAGTTCTTGTTTACTTATCATCACTGTGAGGTATTTTAACATGTAGATGAATCCCTGAGCAGACAGCTGGTAAATGCATTCAGGAATGAAGGTTGATTTACAGGGCATCGGGGAGATGGATGAGGACATGGAGGACGATAGATGAGCACATGGAGGAGATGGATGAGGACATACAGGACATTGGGGAGATGGATGAGGACATGGAGGACATGGGGAGATAGATGAGGACATGGAGGAGATGGATGAGGACATGGAGGAGATGGATGAGGACATACAGAACATTGGGGGAGATGGATGAGGACATGGAGGAGATGGATGAGGACATGGAGGAGATGGATGAGGACATACAGGACATTGGGAGATGGATGAGGACATGGAGGACATGGGGAGATAGATGAGGACATGGAGGAGATGGATGAGGACATGGGGGAGATGGATGAGGACATGGAGGAGATGGATGAGGACATGGAGGAGATGGATGAGGACATGGAGGAGATGGATGAGGACATGGGGAGATGGATGAGGACATGGAGGAGATGGATGAGGACATACAGGACATTGGGAGATGGATGAGGACATGGAGGACATGGGGAGATAGATGAGGACATGGAGGAGATGGATGAGGACATGGAGGAGATGGATGAGGACATACAGGGCATGGGGGAGATGGATGAGGACATGGGGAGATAGATGAGGACATGGAGGAGATGGATGAGGACATGGAGGACATGGGGAGATGGATGAGGACATGGGGGAGATAGGATGGACATGGAGGGAGATGGAGACATGGGGAGATGGATGAGGACATGGAGGGATAGATGACATGGGGGAGATGGATGAGGACATGGGGGAGATGGATGAGGACATGGGGGGAGATGGATGAGGACATGGAGAAGATGGATGAGGAGGAGAGGACATGGAGGAGATGAATGAGCACATGGGGAGATGGATGAGGACATGGAGGAGATGGATGAGGACATACAGGACATAGGAGGATGGATGGGGATAGATGGAGGACATGGAGGAGATAGATGAGGACATGGAGGAGATGGATGAGGACATGGAAGACATGGGGGAGATGGGTGAGGACATGGGGAGATGGATGAGCACATGGAGGAGATAGATGAGGACATGGAGGAGATGGATGAGGACATACAGGACATGGAGGAGATAGATGAGCACATGGGGAGATAGATGAGGACATGGAGGAGATGGATGAGGACATGAGGACATGGAGGAGATGGATGAGATGAGGAGGACATGGGGAGATGAGATGACACATGGAGGAGATGGATGAGGACATACAGGACATGGAGGAGATGGATGAGGACATGGAGGAGATGGATGAGGACATACAGGACATGGAGGAGATGGATGAGGACATGGGAGAGGATGGGGAGATGGATGAGGACACAGGGGAGATGGATGGAGGACATGGAGGAGATGGATGAGGACATACAAGACATGGAGGAGGATGACACATGGAGGGAGATGGATGAGGACATACAGGACATGGAGGAGATAGATGAGCACATGGAGGAGATAGATGAGCACATGGAGGAGATGGATGAGGACATGGAAGACATGGGGGAGATGGGTGAGGACATGGAGGACACGGAGCACATGGAGGAGATGGATGAGGACATACAGGACATGGAGGAGATAGATGAGGACATGGAGGAGATGGATGAGGACATGGAGGACATGGCGGAGATGGGTGAGGACATGGAGGACATGCCTGAGATGGGTGAGGACATGGAGGACACGGAGGACATGGGAGGAGATGGATGTGGACATGGTGTGCAGTCCTGGAACAGCATGCAAATACAACATGGCCAACTCTCATCTCTGCATCATTACACAGCATGCAGCCAAATAACATAATCAATCTTGTGCAATACACTTGCACCAGTTGCATAAAACATGCACAGAAATCTCTGCACCCCCACAATGCATGCTGAACAATCTCTACACAAAACCATATTGTAAAATTATTTAATATCCCACATGGCAACCAATGTGCAGAAAATGAAACATTGCTACAAGGATACCATATCATTCATGGAATAAAACAGAACGCTACCCATGCCACCAGAGCTGCACACTGGGAAACAATGCCCCATGCGGAGTTGTGGGTACATACCGCCATAGATTTGAGATACCGAGTTCTTTGGAGGACATATTCAATCTGGGTTATGAGGAAAACATAGTTAACGGAAATATTTCACCCATAATGAGATAACGAATGTCAAGTTTCACTAAGTATTCTTCAAATGCCACATAACATTTTGACTGTTCATAAAGTTACTGAGTGTTATACACGACAGTCAGCAATATTCCAGCTGCATCACAATGGCCTGCAAGCAGCCAAAGTTTGACCAGGCAAGCCACTGAGTGAGAGCATGAGCAATGACGAGGTTGTCACACCACAATGACATACAGTTCACCAAGTCAAAGCACCTCATCATCCAATTCCCTTTGGTTGCCTCTCTTGACAAGCATGGAAAACTTGGAACCAACTCCTAGAATCCCAGCCGGAGTTTCATCACATCAACGTAAATACTATCAAACACGCACGCATTGGCAGTAACATTTTTCAGTGCAATATATCAAAGAGGGCTAGGATGGAATAATTTGAACCAACAACAGCAAATTTCATCGAGAACAAAATACAAAAACAACAACAGTTGATCCTGACCACTGACAATCAACACAGAATATTTCCTCACGATAAGAAGGGTTCAAGAAACAAAACATATTTAGCCTCTTACATATCAAATACACTCCTGACCAATGCCACATGATTATAGAATTGTGGGAAATAAAGAAATACACCCTGGAGAGATTGTCTGCCAACAAGGGCACTCAAGTTCCACACTGAATGAGACTGTACAGTGAAAGAGAAGTTTTACTCATTCATATCCAGGTTCAGGGCTGGAGAAGAACAAGAAATGCCCATGACCTGCATAGTTTAACTCACCTGGTCTCTGTAGTCATCTGTGAGTTTCTCGCTCTGCCTCAAGTTGTTCCTCAGTTGCAGCATCTCCTCTTCAGCCAGCTGGAACTTGCTCTCGATGTTAGCGATGGAAGACTGCAACACAGAGTGTGAGTCAGCACAGTATTTCATTGTTTACCTAGTCTGGAAAACTATAGTGTTTCTGAACAGTAAATGATGGATATGTCAGTAAAACCCACCAGGACCATCATGAGAGTCTGTTATCACTGTTTCTCGTGTTCTTAATTCTCCATGTAAGTAATGACACTTGTAATCCTACACCTGGGTAAGGCTGTAACGATTCACTCGCATATTGGATGAATCGAACCATAGCCCTTCATGAATTCAATTCGTTATTTGTGGTCATCAGAACCGAATATTCATGAATATTTACAATTTTTAAGGGAGTGTGTTTTACTTGAACCCTTATGTCCTTTTTCAAAATGAGATATGCAAGAATGCATTATGTACTAGCCTTGTAGTAGCGCAAGTCATGTTAGTTTGCCAAGGCCGCACATGGTACTGTCATCTATAACTATTACATACCAAATTTGAGTGTCATGAGATGACTGGTTATTGCTGTGACAAATTAACACTGTCAACATGGGCATTCAATATTGTGCATCAGTCACTTAACTACAATATTGTATTCGTGAATAATTATTCGTATTCGGTACCCAATATTCGTGATACGTATCATATTCGCAACATAGTGTATTCGTTACAGCCCTACACCTGGGTGTCGGATGTTTCTCAAAATACGAAAACTGTTACCAAAGATCTGCTGAGTAGCAACTGTCTGGGTAGATTTCTAAGCATTGAAATGCAATGGACTAAATATAACTAAGAATGATTGTTTGTTGAGAACACATATTCATAGGGACTACATATCTGAAATCATTGTCTTAAGTATCCCCAGTTAACCCTTCAAGTAGTTTGGAGGAGTTGGTGAAGATGTCTAGGTAAAGAAGGGGAGACACTGGGTCAACTCTAGGACATCAGGTCCAGAAAAATGACAATATTCCCTCACCTTTAATCTTTCATTCTCCAGCTTGAGATTTGACAGTTCGGATGTTTTCTCGTGGAGTCTGACCGTGACAGTGTCTGAGTTGGACCGAGCACTCTCCTCCACCTTGTCTACAAGGTACTCCAGCTCACTGATCCGTCTACAACAGAGTATGGCCAGTCCAGAATCCATAGACCTCACCAAACTGACTACAACACACTGAACATCCAGTAACTAACACACAGTACAAAACCACTCACTCACCGATCTGACTACAACACACAGTACAACCCTCACTCACCGATCTGACTACAACATAGTACAACCACTCACTCACCAATCGGACAACACACAGTACAACCACTCACTCACCGATCTGACTAAAACACAGTACAACCACTCACTCACCGATCTGACTACAACACACAGTACAACCACTCACTCACCGATCTGACTACAACACAGTACAACCACTCACTCACCGATCTGACTACAACACACAGTACAACCACTCACTCACCGATCTGACTACAACACAGTACAACCACTCACTCACCGATCTGACTACAACACAGTACAACCACTCACTCACCGATCTGACTACAACACACAGCACAACCACTCACTCACCGATCTGACTACAACACAGTACAACCACTCACTCACCGATCTGACTACAACACAGTACAACCACTCACTCACCATTCCGACAACACACAGTACAACTACTCACTCACCGATCTGACTACAACACAGTACAACCACTCACTCACCAATCTGACTACAACACACAGCACAACCACTCACTCACCGATCTGACTACAACACAGTACAACCACTCACTCACCGATCTGACTACAACACAGTACAACCACTCACTCACCAATCCGACAACACACAGTACAACCACTCACTCACCGATCTGACTACAACACAGTACAACCACTCACTCACCGATCTGACTACAACACACAGTACAACCACTCACTCACCGATCTGACTACAACACAGTACAACCACTCACCGATCTGACTACAACACACAGCACAACCACTCACTCACCGATCTGACTACAACACAGTACAACCACTCACTCACCGATCTGACTACAACACAGTACAACCACTCACTCACCGATCTGACTACAACACACAGCACAACCACTCACTCACCGATCTGACTACAACACACAGTACAACCACTCACTCACCGATCTGACTACAACACACAGTACAACCACTCACTCACCGATCTGACTACAACACAGTACAACCACTCACTCACCGATCTGACTACAACACAGTACAACCACTCACTCACCGATCTGACTACAACACACAGTACAACCACTCACTCACCATTCCGACAACACACAGTACAACTACTCACTCACCGATCTGACTACAACACACAGTACAACCACTCACTCACCAATCTGACTACAACACACAGCACAACCACTCACTCACCGATCTGACTACACAACACAGTACAACCCACTCACTCACCGATCTGACTAGAACACACAGTATAACCACTCACTTACCGATCTGGACTACAAACCGATCTGACTACAACACACAGTACAACCACTCACTCACCAATCTGACTACAACACACAGTACAACCACTCACTCACCGATCTGACTACAACACAGTACAACCACTCACTCACCGATCTGACTAGAACACACAGTATAACCACTCACTCACCGATCTGACTACAACACACAGTACAACCACTCACTCACCAATCTGACTACAACACACAGTACAACCACTCACTCACCGATCTGACTACAACACACAGTACAACCACTCACTCACCCGACTGACTACAACACAGTACAACCACGACTGACTACAACACAGTACAACCACTCACTCACGATCTGACTACAACACAGTACAACCACTCACTCACCGATCTGACTACAACACACAGTACAACCACTCACTCACCGATCTGACTACAACACACAGTACAACCACTCACTCACCGATCTGACTACAACACACAGTACAACCACTCACTCACCGATCTGACTACAACACACAGTACAACCACTCACTCACCGATCTGACTACAACACAGTACAACCACTCACTCACCGATCTGACTACACAACACAGTACAACCACTCACTCACCGATCTGACTACAACACAGTACAACCACTCACTCACCGATCTGACTACAACACACAGTACAACCACTCACTCACCGATCTGACTACAACACAGTACAACCACTCACTCACCGATCTGACTACACACACAGTACAACCACTCACTCACCGATCTGACTACAACACACAGTACAACCACTCACTCACCGATCTGACTACAACACACAGTACAACCACTCACTCACCGATCTGACTACAACACACAGTACAACCACTCACCGATCTGACTAGAACACCGATAACCACTGACTACACAACACAGTACAACCACTCACTCACCGATCTGACTACAACACACAGTACAACCACTCACTCTGACTACAACACACGATCTGACTACAACACACAGTACAACCACTCACTCACCGATCTGACTACAACACACAGTACAACCACTCACTCACCGATCTGACTACAACACACAGTACAACCACTCACAACTGACTACAACACACAGTACAACAACTCACAACTACAACACATAGAACATCCAGTAACTGATCCAATTACAACAGTTGCAAAATTGGTTGCAAATCATTAATGTTGTTTGGATATGAAATGCTTACACAATTTTTGCAATACCTTTTGAACAGATTTGAATCTTAAGGCTTGATAATTACATTAATCAATATTACTGAAAAAGATTAATTATTGTTAACTTTTTCAAAACAGCTATATTCCTCCCTGTCGCTCCTCAAAACAAGGGGAAGAAACTGTACACAAACACATAATGTTGTTTGAAATTTGCATCACATATGTTTTCACAACAATGATAGATTATGAACACTATTGACAATAATACATTGTCATATCCCTATCAACAAAGTACAAACACAGAACACACAACTGGAACACCCTGACAGTTTGATAAATCATTACAGTCCTACTTGTCAGAGTGTTATACAGATGTACAGGACAGTTGTATACAACATGCAGTCAGCAACATTCCAGCTGCATCATGTCATCAACCTGCCCTGACAACCAGGGCCTCGTTTTCACAAAGCTCTCAGTAAGCCTAAGATTTGCCCTCAAGCATTCGTACCTCCTATGTTATAGTATAGGAGATACGAATGCTATGAGAAAAGTTACGAGATCTTAGGCTTACGAGAGCTTTGTGAAACGAGGCCCTGGTCAGTTTCCCCCAGATCACAATCTGAATTTTCAAAACAAAACCTTCTGGTTTACAGTGAAATACTGTTGTGTTCGAGGGACCTATGTTAACACTTCGTGTTATTCTCTGTTCCACTGAACTGAAGAATGATAAAGAAAGGAGGAATATGCAGGGACAACAGTTTTACTTTGAGACGGAAGTCTGAAACTTCAACATAAATTGATAGAAACTGCCTACAGTTTGATGACTCTCAGCTTTCAAAGCAAGGTCTAATACCATTGTGACAGACGTATTAGCATTGTGACGTCATAACTGTAAACCATTATGGCATCGAACGTCCAGCATCACACGATGTTATTACACAATGTGAAATAATATTGTAGATTTATTAAACAGTGATATCTTCAATGGGTGAGTAATAAAATAGTTTATTATGCAAGCATATTTTTCCGGCTACCTGATTGGTCTAGAGGCGGTCACGTGACCGTCGACAGAAAAGCATATTGACTCCAACCCAGGTCCGACCAAAAGTCATATTGACCTGAGTTACTATGACGTCAAGCTATGACGTCATTTATTGTTTACATGTCACAGTATTGTTGACATAACGTTATTGCTTTGTAGTGAAAATAAAATTACTTTTCTTGACTAAATGGACATGTTTTGGATTTAAGAAGCTTTTTTTCGGTAATTACATAATAAAACAATTATAGACTGGCGAATTCGGTCAATACCTGTTCTTATGGACCCGCAAACAGCAATATTGACCTCAGACTTTGTCCTCGGTCAATATTACCTTTTGCGGGTCCATAAAAACAGGTATTGACCTCATCACCAGTCTGTAATTGTATAATAATATTTCCAGTTGAAACTTTCTGTCATGGTTGCCATGGTTACAATATTCCTTTAATAAGAAACAAGGAATCATGTTCCAAGCTGGCATATACAAAAAGTATATTTAAATATCAAGAACATTAGGACAGGTAAGTTGAAATGTTAATGAAGTGACTTCACTCGAACCACACGGAACAGTTGCAGGTTAGATCACAGCAAACTAATCAGAAAGATACACACCCAAGCCTACAATATGTCAACAGAAGAGGGTAACATTAAAGCTTTAAAGATAAAGGCAAAATGGAGTGAGACAGTTTCTCTTGTACAAATATGAGTTAAACTTCATGGAACTAAATAAAAATTACTTGAAAAAAAGGTAATGCAACACGACAATAAATTAAATATTTCACACAGGTTACATTCCTAAATCATGTCAACTGACCAAATTATATTCACTGCATTTTTCACATCAACTTTCTCAGATCGCCAAACTTACGTTTTTAAAGCTGTGTTTTCTGCCTGGGCTTGCGCCCGTTCCTTGGATAGTTTTTCAATGTTGATAGTGACATGATCAAGCTCAGATTTTAAATCAGTTACTTGAGTCTCTCTCTCCATAAGCTGAGCATTGAGGCAATCTAAAGCATCCTCGACGCGCTCTGCTCGCTGCTTCTGGGCTCTGCACAAATAAGGAGTGCTCATGCAATAACTGGCGAGCAGTGCTCGTAAGGCTGCTAATCGACACATGTGATATTCCTGGTACTCGAGCTTTTGTACAGCAAGCATGTACTATTATATCTGTCAACAGTCTCACTTCTTGATCATTATCATACTCATGAAGGTTGTCTTTGACTGTACATCTAAAACTTGATGAAGATAATCACATACAATATCTGGGAGTCTGCCAATGTCGTTTCTTGTTTTACACCTTTGATTGGTAAATACGCATGACTGTCAGAATCAAAATACAAAATTCATTAAGAAATATTGATTTCAAATTAAAACCACTAATTTTTTTAACAAAATATTTTTGGGAAACATTTCTATCATTTTGGAGCATTTTTCATTTCTTTTACGCTATTTATATTGGATATTCCAAAAGGTTTATACCAACAACAAACAAATCTGAAGTTGCCCAAACATGCTAAATACAGAATTTGCCATTAATATTTATGCCTCATGATTTTCTTGAATCAATAATGAAGCATGTTTGGTCTTTGTTTTCAAAATATTAATCTGTATTAGAATATGCCATAAAATCATTGCTGCAAAGGTGCACCCTTCTACGCTGCTGCCATCCCTGGAAGACTGCTCATTTGCAAGCCCCTGATATTGATGTTCCCATCAAACCTACTATCAATTACTTGGATGCCACTCTCTGTCAATATCTCACAAGTCAGTTTAACCCAGAATGAAATTTGATCCCCAATCCAAACAAAGGATGCATGAGTTTGGGATCTAATCAGATACAAGTGTTCTGTAAGGATTCAGCTTCACTACACCCAACTCAATTTGTCAAAATGAATTTCAAGTTTCAATATATTCCTTATCATCTCTGTTGTTTATTCCAAACAGAAGAAACAGCACATCAATGGCTAAGGTTACATGATAGTACAGTCTGCTTGGTCCAGATGCCATAATGCTCAGAAACAAAAACTGTAGACATAACTACAACACAGAGTGGCTTCTATTTTTTCCATTTGGAACCTCCCATTCACATTCATTTTCAGGACATCAGTTACAGAGATCCAAATGCTTGGCCTGCCCTTTCTTAAAATTCAACCTCATGAGTAACTGGTGGTTTAAAAGTTCACCTGACAGACTATATAACACCTGACAGACTATATAACACCTGACAGACTATATTCAGAATTTATGTTAGATATTGACAAAGACAGGTCCCTACTTCAGCAGATGTAATACATGACTCCCAATCTTGACTTGTAAGTGTATTTGTTATACATGAAAGGAATACCATCACAGGGTGATTCTTGCATGTTAGTGATGCTTACAGTGACAGCAGAATGAAATAAGCTTCCCGAGACACTAGAAATATCACATGTTCAGAATAGACAAAGAAAAGAAGGTAATATGAAAAAAGAAGACAGCTGTGACTCAAGTGTAATCAGTTTGTGCTAAATAAACCAGGAGTTGACATCAGGAAGTACATTCAAACACACCACAGCTCATTTGAGACAAAGGTTTAAGTACCATAACTATGTTTGGGAAGAAAGCATTTTGTTTCAAATTGTTACGAATTTGGGGATTAGCAGAATTGAAACCAGCTCTGAACAACTTATTCAAGACTAAAATTTTCCAAACTGTGGGAGTAATTAGGGCTGGCTATAGTGACTGAAACTAAATATCGATCGATTATTTTATCGAACACAATTTCATCGATTATCATTTTAAAAAATTATATTTATGATATTTCTGGTCATCAAACATTTTAGCCAGAGCTAGTAGTAATGTACAATTGCAAGAAAAAATGAAGTAAATTTTGAACTGATTGGCTAGAAGATGACAGTCAACAAGTCCAGACACAGGAAGATTTACACTGCAGTCTCAACTCACACAATCAAGATATAGCGGGTTTCTAACATATTTTACATGTTCTAAGAGCTCAGAAAAGACAAAAACAATCAATGAATAGAATATTGTTGACTACAGAAATAGAGACTATGTTGTACAAGGACATTTGTCATTTACCTCCCCATGACCATGAGCCTTTCACTTACAACTATGTGCTTTGAAATTAGTCTGATTCTGACTAGAAGTGTGCAAATGTAAATCAAATATGGAAGTGCCAAAAGAACATGTAAACTTTGAGGAAAGATGTGGCAAAAATGGCCAAGACTTTGTTCAACTTAGTCTAATGTCAAGCGCCAAGTCCCCTTCTAACAGTGCCGACAACTGGTAGCAGTCTAAAACCTGCACTCACCATGTACCGTAATCTCATGACAAATGTCCCCTGATAATCCCTGTACTCATTTCCCCTCCAACAATGTTTCCTGATAAGCCCTATCCCAAGCCCCTCTCTAACAATGTTTCCTGATAACCCCCATCCCCAGAAACAATGTTTCCTGATAACCCCTATCCCATCCCCACTAACAATGTTTCCTGATAACCCCTGTCCCCAGTCCCCACTAACAATGTTTCCTGATAACATCCCAAGTCCCTATCCCTAACAATGTTTCCTGATGTTTCCCCCACTAACAATGTTTCCTGATAACCCCCCATCCCCCAATGTTTCCTGATAACTAACAATGTTTCCTGATAACACCTGTCCCCAGTCCTGCCACTAACAATGTTTCCTGATAACCCCTGTCCCCAGTCCCCCATTAACAATGTTTCCTGATAACACCCCTGTCCCCACTAACAATGTTTCCTGATAAGCCCTGTCCCCAGTCCCCACATTAACAATGTTTCCTGATAACTAACCCTGTAACCCCTGTCCCCACTAACAATGTTTCCTGATAACCCCTGGCCCCAGTCCCAGACTAACAATGTTTCCTGATAACCCTATCCCCCCTAACAATGTCCCCCAAGTCCCCACTAACAATGTTTCCTGATAACACCTGTCCCCAGTCCCCACTAACAATGTTTCCTGATAACCCGTCCCCCCACTAACAATGTTTCCTGATGATAACACCTGTCCCCAGTCCTGATAACCCTGTCCCCACTAACAATGTTTCCTGATAACCCCTGTCCTCAGTCCCCATTAACAATGTTTCCTGATAACCCCGTCCCCACTAACAATGTTTCCTGATAACCCCTGTCCCCAGTTCCCCACTAACAATGTTTCCTGATAACCCCTGTCCCCACTAACAATGTTTCCTGATAACCCCTGTCCCCACTAACAATGTTTCCTGATAACACCTGTCCCCACTAACAATGTTTCCTGATAACACCTGTCCCTGATAGTCCCCACTAACAATGTTTCCTGATAACCCCTGTCCCCAGTCCCCACTAACAATGTTTCCTGATAACCCCTGTCCCCACTAACAATGTTTCCTGATAATCCCTGTCCCCACTAACAATGTTTCCTGATAACCACCAATGTTTCCTGATAACCCTGACCCCACTAACAATGTTTCCTGATAACCCCTGTCCCCACTAACAATGTTTCCTGATACCACCTGTCCCCACTAACAATGTTTCCTGATAACACCTGTCCCCAGTCCCCACAATAGTCCCCACTAACAATAATGCTTCCTGATAACACCTGTCCCCTGATAACCCCTGTCCCCACTAACAATGTTTCCTGATAACACCTGTCACTAACAGTCCCCCACTAACAATGTTTCCTGATACCACCTGTCCCCACTAACAATGTTTCCTGATAACACCTGTCCCCAGTCCCCCACTAGCAATGCTTCCTGATAACACCTGTCCCCAGTCCCCCACTAGCAATGCTTCCTGATAACACCTGTCCCCAGTCCCCAACTAACAATGTTTCCTGATACCACCTGTCCCCACTAACAATGTTTCCTGGTATCACCTGTCCCCAGTCCCCCACTAGCAATGCTTCCTGATAACACCTGTCCCCAGTCCCCCACTAGCAATGCTTCCTGATAACACCTGTCCCCAGTCCCCAACTAACAATGTTTCCTGATACCACCTGTCCCCACTAACAATGTTTCCTGGTATCACCTGTCCCCAGTCCCCCACTAGCAATGCTTCCTGATAACACCTGTCCCCAGTCCCCCACTAGCAATGCTTCCTGATAACCCCTGGCCCCAGTCCCCCACTCACCGTGTGGCCTTCTTCAGGGCTTCCTTGTCCCGGTCACTCTTTCCCTTGGCGTTATTCAGCAGGTCTTGGATGTGGTCCAGCTCAATCTTGTCCTGGTTCACCTGAGTCTCCAGGCTCTGAAACGACGTCAATATGTAACCCTGGCCCCTCAAACTAAAACAAATACAATGCTAAGAAAGGTCTTGGACTACGATACGGAACCACTCTTAGCACCAGTTTCACAAGACTGAATCTACTACAAGTGTTGCAATTAAGTTTGACCTGATGAAGCCGACCTAGTGTCATCTCAATTTCATTTATCTGGCCTGGAGCTGACATCTTCTCATAGCATGACTGCTGCTTGTGAGTGACTGTTGCCTTTTCCAGCAATGTCATGGCAGTCTGTACATGACTAAATCTGGGCCCAGTATTGATCACTAATAACAATCCATGTCACTGTGGTACCATGACTAGGACTGACAAATGTACCAATCTGTGTTGGTCATATGTGACAACAAGTCTGTGATGAAAGACATGTATTCTTCCTAGAACCCAAGTAAAGCTGTGGTACACTTAGAATTAACATGACACACTAGGGCTGCAATGATTCGCCCAGACCTCGAAATCATTCGATTTTCGATATTGGTCTTTCGAATCAATTATTTTCAGATTTCATTTAACTCTCAGAGTCAGCTTTTTTGTGTGAAATCCATCGTCAAATTGGCGATGTCTACTAACAACAATTCTCATTGGATAATTAGCCCGGCATCAACCAATCACGTTTCACCTTATTTCAGCGCTCGAAACTGCTCGAGTTGATGTCAAAATTAGGTTCTGGCTGTGTGGAAATAATTTAAATATTCAAATATCGAATCAAAATTGTGAAATATCGAAAATGAAAAAGGTGTGATAATCGATGTTGAATCAAAAAAGTGAAACTAAGGTGTCAGATTCAGGGCCAAAATTTACTGATGAAGAGTTGTTGTGAACCAAATACATTGCAGCCCTATACGGCTGCCTGAGACACCACCATAATTTAAGGACGGTATATGCAAAACTTTGACCATTGCGGGGCCACCCGAACGATGTGTGACTCACGGTAAAGAGTTGTTGAAAAATACTAACAACCTTCCAATCGTCAATAATTTACATTGTGTGCATGTATTACACCATGTTACTTTACCGAAGTCTTCAATTTGAAACATTTTCAATTTGAGACACAGTCCTGACAGAACATCATTGTTGATACAGATAGATGTATTGCAAATATCAAAATATATTGCAATACAAAATTTTGGCAATGCCCAACCCTAATAGATAACACAAAATCATCACCAAGTTGACATGACACTAAGGATCATAATTACAAGTAAGCTTCGTCTGGATGATGGACGTCAGTCAAGTGGTCACAGAGGCAAAGCTAACAAAGTGACCAGCATTTGATAAGGACTGGAGTTAAAGACAGATATTATAACTTCAAACAACTGATCATTACACCCTTCCCTGCACTCAAAGAATTACGATTTGTTTGTTTGTTTAGCACCACGCTCAGCCACATGAAGGTGGCCTGTATATACCAGAGTCTGGATCATACAATCCAGTGATTCATATTGTGATCACCAGTCCACTACACTGATAAACTAATCCCCAAATTAAAATGGCAGTCAAGAAACACATTAAATTACAACCAATATTTTGTATTCACATTATTGCGAAATAACTTTAAAAACGTGTCAATCTGTTCATTTAATTTGCAAGAAAATCTAGACCACACACCTCAAGCACTTGGAGTTTATGTTCTAGTTTACCTTCCACAGTCTCAAGCTATGCCATAATCTTGTAACATACAGTTTGAATATTCCTGAGTGGAACATTCAACAACAAACAAATCTCCAGCAATGTACTGCATCAGCTACACTATGTGTGTCACTGTGCAGCTCTGTGTCCATTACCCTTATCTGTACAGCCATGCGGTTACAGTCTGCCTCCTTGGTACGGAGCTGCTTCTGTAGGTGTGCCCTTGTCCCCTCCAGCGTCCCCTGAAGACTGGACAGAGCCATATTCTCCTCCTGGGATAGATGGAACAGCCCCGTTACACACAGCACACCACACAACCAGCAACAGGAACACACAGAAGAACAACACACAGAAGAACACACGAGAACACTTACTACATGATAAACATACATATAACTCTTAACATTTGAATAACAGACATTTCCGTTCATATCATTTCCACTTTACAGAGTTGCAAATATGACTTCCAGGCATTCATGCTGCTGCTTATTATTGTCTTCACCTGCTTATCATTACCTACAGCTGCTTATTATTATCTTCAGCTGCTTATTATCTACAGCTGCTTATCTATCTACAGCTGCTTATTTATTTACAGCTGCTTATTTATTTGCAGCTGCTTATTACTATATACAGCTGTTTATTACTATCTACAGCTTCTTATTACTATCTACAGCTGCTTATTACTATCTACAGCTGCTTATTTATTTACAGCTGCTTATTACTATCTACACACTGCTTATTTATTTATCTACAGCTGCTTATTTATCTACAGCTGCTTATTTATTTACAGCTGCTTATTACTATTACAGCTGCTTATTACTATCTACAGCTGCTTATTATTATCCACAGCTGCTTACTATTATCTACAGCTGCTTTTGCTGTCCTTCATGATCTGCATCATTATATATAAGTATAATAATGATACAAGCAGACATAAAAATCCACCATATTGACATTCTTTGCTGACCCCTCAGTTTGATTGATGAGACATTCACTTGTCATTAGAAATTGTAGAAATTACAACACAAAAGTCTCAAAAGTTCAACAATAAATATACACAGTAAAGAATTTGAAAGTTAAAGAGATCACGGAGTGAAAAGTAAACAAATGATCAATGAAACAAAAGTCCAAACAATAAGTTACCATGGTTACAAACTTACATAATATTTTATATAAGGTACTCAAAATAAAAATATGAATGAAATTCCTAATGTCTGAATATAAACTCTTATGCTCCTAAGAGTTAATAGATTTAATATTTTCTTTTATTCGTCAAACAAATTAACTGATCTTCAAGTGGCATAGTCTTTCTAAAAATTTGAAACATCAACAGTGAACATTGAACAGACACCACCAAAGACACACAAAAATACAAGAAAACAGCATCAAGAAAGTTGACAAGTCCATCAAAAATGTTATCGAAAATCTGAACTAACTGTTCTTCCTTCCTATAAGCATGCAGCAGGCAAGGAACAATGTCTGGATTACTTAGTAACATGCATTTGTTGAAAAATCAAGTACAACATACTGTTTATAGCTAAAATTAATACAATCTAAGAATGTAACAAAGTTAATTTTAATGACTATCTGACCTACTGAATGTTCTACAACATCAAGGAAATGTTTAAGATATAATGATTATACAACTAAATTCTGTTTCATTATTCCAGAGTGAGCCAATACCTCAGAAATAGACACCACACTCAATGTATTGAAAAAAACAACATCACTTACTCTTTGGGCTGCAGTCTGATTCCTTAGATCGACTATTAATCTGTCTCTTTCCAACAGTTCTAACCGCAACCTCTGAAATATTAACATAAGGTAGTCAAATACACAGCTGAGAGTGAGTTCGGTTTTAGATATACTTTCAGAAATAGTCCACCAGTATGACAGCAACTAACACCAGAAATGACCTTCACACAATGTATCGTACCGTTACTCATTTCCGCCCAAGCCCTATTTTAGCTAAGCTATTTTGAATCCCGAAATCTATGAGAATTATGACATGTGACATCACCAGGAGCTTGTTTACAAACAAGCATCGTACCGCTGCCACTCAAGCAACAAAATGCTGAGGATCAACCTAAAAAGGTGACTTATCGAAACAATTTGCGAAATGTATGATTTTTGAACAGGTGAGGTGAGGTGAAATGGGTTTAACGTCGCACTGGAGAATATTTCGCTCATGTGACGATGTGCATGCGTGTGTATGTATAGTGCGGCTGCTTGTACTAGCCCAGACTTAAGCTGGTTTTATAGTGCTAGCCCACTGAGATACCATGCCACTGTAAAGCATGAATACCCCACTCAGACACATTATACTGACTCCGAGCCGACCAGTCCTTGTTGTACCCATTAATGCCGAGCGCCAGGCAGGGACCAACAAGTACCATATTTTAACGTCTTTCGGTATGAAGTCGTCGGGGAACGATTTTTGAACACAGATCACTAAGACAGAGGTACAGATAAGTTTGAGTGAGGTGAGTACAGTTTATTTGGTTACACAAAGGAAAATTAGGATACCCAATTGAGATGAACACAAGCGAGTACATAACTCAATGACCCAAACAGTTATCTGTAGCTCTGCTAAGACATAAACTATCGCTAAGTAAACAATGTAGTAAAACAGTGTCAAATTTCCAAGTAATAGTTCGTCTGCTAGGTATTTATTAATTTCACTTTGTGATGGGAATTCCCTGCAGTACAAGGGACCAGCTTGTGCGTGACTGGGAGGCCATAAATAGCCAACCAATGAGGTGAGTGACAATAGGTGATGTCACTAAAAGTATCATGGCGGCTTGGAGTCCTCCAAAGCGAACGCAATAGACTTTTGTTTCATTTTCCGTCACAGTAAGTAATGATAAGGAAACAATCACATCATATTAACGAGTAGGTACGATCATACACTTGTCCTGTTATTTGTCTATATTTTATAAGCACTTGTTTCTTATCTGAGCGAAAACCGGTAACCCCAGGATACTGTAGCACGAGCACATGCACACGGTTATAGAACTACCATGATTCACAAACAGGGAAAAGATTCATCCTGCTTCAACATATTCACTAATATTAGAAATCAATTATTAAATCAATGTTGTGTCAGAAGTTAAAACAAGCAGAAAATGCTAGGTTTTTTGTTTGTAAACTAATAATTCTCATGACCTTATCATAATAAGCCTCCAAAGTTTGATATATATCTTAGTAGATACCAATATTTTATGAGCAAACACAATTTAAGAAGTAGCCAAATTCACACATGAACAAAAACAGATAAAAGAGGTGAAGTTTTAATTTTACCCTGTCTATACAGAACGAAATAACTTTGTATCTTGTACAAATATTGAACAGATTATATCATAGGACAGTCAGTCGCTTGGCAACATATGGTTACAGTGTTGTTAACAGGAAATCTTACTGAACTTGAGGAAATTCTCACCTCATTGAGTCTATCCATGTCGGCCATCTTCTTTATGAGAACATCCCTCTGCTCAGACAGACGGAGAGCCGATGACTCTTGACGATGGTGCTCACGGAGAAGTCGGCGCAGTGTGCGATTGGTTGCTTCAAAATCTGTCAACTTTTCTAAGAGGAGGTCTTTCTGCTTTGTCAGTTTGGCACCTTCTACAGATGGCCTGCTCTCCTCCCGGATGCGGTGGATGGTTTCCCGGAGTTCCCGGACCTGCTGAGCAGCTGCCTGACCGTCCATCTCCACCTCAATTAATTTTTTCATCAACTTCTCCCTCTCAACACTGAAGAAGTCCCTGATCACACGAAAACAATTGTTTATTTGTTTTGTTTGTCTGTTTGATGCCACATTCGGCAATATTCCAGCTATATGGCGACACTCTGTAAAAAACTTGAGTCTGGACCAGACAATCCAATACTCAAATGGGATACGACCTATTGGGTCAGCCTGCCTGACCACCCAATCATGTTAATCGCCTCTGACGACAAGCATGGGTTGCTGAAAAACAATTCTAACCAAGATCTTCATGGGTACAGCTGGACTTGTCAATGGCTTAGCGACTATCTAAATATCTAAACTATACCTTAAGAATTTTAATATAAATAAATGACAGAAAACACTGATGAAATTGCTCTATTTTGTGGGTTTTTTTCCTTCAAATGTTTACTGCAGAATTTTGAAAATGGGATGCAGAATTTACTTAAAGGTCACATGCAACGTAAAACACAACTTTGCAGATTCTGATACCTTTCGGTATGGACTTACCGAAAAAAAGCGTCAAAAATGCAAATTCAACTTATAAAGTGGAAAAATAACGCGATGAAAAAAAACGCGCGAAATCGGAGTTCAAACGTTTCACCAATTTTCCCCAGACTTTTCTGGGGAATACGGGTTTCAACAGCTGGCTGCGCTCATAGCACGTGCGCAGTGAAATAGGTTCGCGTAACTTGGAAGCGGGCTGTCTGGTGAATACTCGGTGAAGGCTTTGGTGTGAGCTAGTTTCATAATGTTTTGTTGATATCTCACAGGCTTGAGCTTTTGTATGTTATGACAGTAAATAACTTGTTTATATAATTTCATTTATCTATTTCACCACACGTTCTTCTTACCGAGTCACTTTCTCAGTTCGATACTTAAAAGCAATGTCATTATTTAGAGTTGACACGATTTCTAACTGTGATATAGATATGTTGCTGTCACAGACAAAACTCAATGTCTTGTTTTATTGACACCAGTGTGTCTGCCTGCCTGTCTGCTAATGACAATATTCAATACACAACTGCGATCACTGACCACATGCAATTTGAACTTAACACCAATCAGGCTATACACCATAAACAAAACGCATTGATTTATGGCCCGAGTTCGGTCTCTGTCACATTATGTAATTACACAGACAGGCGGGTGTGATACTTGAACACATGACATGTTATGATGTCTGTTGATTGCAAAATGTTATACACAAAAAATGAGCATGTATTTACAAAACCCAACTTTCTATATATACACTACCAAATAAGCCGTGAAGGCGGCATCTGCTAATGAACCAGCCGTTACACTTGAGTGCACACCCACCCGCTCTGACTGGGTTCGGTATCCCGGGTGCTTCGTTTCGAGGAGGTAAACCCAAGTACAAAATATTGCACTTTTGCTTTGCGATTATACGCTTATAATTTTGTTTATTTGTTTTTACATAATCAGCAATGCATATTATATGTCATGAAGAAGTGATAATTGTGTTTTAATTATGTTTGATTTTTTGGTTGCATGTGACCTTTAAATTTGCCACGGAATTCTTAGAAATTCATCGTGGAATCCAGGAGCGACTGATAGTGATAAAGCCAGATTGCACATCCTCTACTGGACTACATGACCTAGTTATGCCTGCACAATTCCCCCAAAATGTCTTTATCTCGAGGAATCTTGTTTTGTTTCAGCAGTGTTATATGTACAGACAGCAACATCCTCTCCCATGGCCACAGTTGACACAAGTACAACACAGCATCATATCAAAAACCAATAAACCAGGTTTGTCTCACCAATATATTGAAATCCCTAAAACTGTACAATCTGATAAAAGTCAACCTTCTGTGCAATGGACTGTGACAGGGATGATGGATATGCGGATCAAGAGCAAGGGCAGGGGATATAAGATGACTAAATTCACAGGACCAGAATGACAACCAACTCACTTGCTGATTTCGGACTCGTCCTGTATGAGGTCCATACTCTTGCGGAGCAGCCTGTTCTCCTTCTCCGTCATGCACAACTCGTCATGGAAGTCCTGGATCTCCTTCTCCTGTTTCTGGATGATTCGCTGGGAGGTCTCCAGGAGGTCCTCCTTGTGCTCGATCTCGGATATGGCGGTCTGGAGAGCAGCCTGTGGAGACGTGAGGATTGTCATATGTTCCATGATAACTCAACATGAAAAGACACTAAACCAAGGTTGTTTTGATAAATAGCAACTATATAACGCTTTGTTAATGTGGTATCCATATTGCCAAGTCAAATGGTCATATGGCTTGTGTTTAAATGAGTATAGGTCAAGAGTTGAAAGGGGGATGGGTATAGGTCAAGAGTTGAAAGGGGGATGGGTGTAAGGCACAAGAACTGAAAAGGGGATCGGTAAGGGGCACAAGATCGGTATAGGGCACAAGAGCTGAAAAGGGGATGGGTATAGGGCACAAGAGCTGAAAAGGGGATGGATATAGGGCACAAGAATTGAAAAGCGGATTGATACAGGGCACAAGAACTGAAAAGGGGATCGGTATAGGCACAAGAGCTGAAAAGGGGATGGGTATAGGGCACAAGAGCTGAAAAGGGGATGGGTATAGGCCAAGAGTTGAAAGGGCGTGGTTATCATGGTTATAGGATGCAAAAGCTGAAAGGGGGATGTGTCTAGGAGTGATTCTTCTATACAAATATAAACATGATCAGTATGACATGGAGACACTGTACCTCATTTTTAAGGGTTCCAACCTCAGTCATAAGAGAATCAATCTTTTTCTCATAGTTTCTCAAATTGCCATGGACACGATCTTCATCGTCAGTGGACAGATCTTCAATCTGAACCTCAGTTCGTGGCGTTGTGATTTCCAGGCGATGTGTCGGACCCTGCATGTGGAACAACAGCACAATACAAAAATACCAGACATAGCCAACGGAATCAGCAATATTCCCCTCAGCCTAAAACAGCTTAGTGCTTTTCTACGAAATGAAAACACAAATATGCCCACATATTTCAAACTTTCAAAAGAAATATGAGACAAATCTATTCTAATCCAATATTTACAGTCACAATCGTTTTTAACTTATAATCACCAGGGCCCAGTTGTTCAAAAGCCTGTTACATTTTAACGTACCGTTAACAAACTTTTCGTTAGCTATTTAACGGGTCGTAGTGTTTAACAGTACGTTAAAATAACGGCGTTTTGAACAACCGGGCCCAGAACACTTAATGGCTGGTCCCAAGCATTATATTTGACTTTTACGTACTTGTATTTCAGTGTCACATGTCCTTAAGGGTGAAATCTGTGGCCATACCCCTATCATATATATGACAATCATGTTCCTCAATGGATATTTCCATGTTGCTCAAAGTGAGATCTGACTCCAAGTCTGGAGATAAGTAGACATGAAATCTTCAATATCCAACAAGGAAACACATGTAGTGTAAGAAACAGTGCGTAATGTTTCTGATGTGGGGAGGCCTTGTGTTTAAAGCTTTTGTTCGTTATTCAGTGGCCTAAACTGTCTGAAAACCATTCCCTGGTGCCCCCTGCCATTACATTGCTAGTAACGGATAAAAGCTGCATAAAACCAAACTCACTCACTCACTCTAAATTTCAAGTAGTTTTGGAAAAACAGGTTGCCCTCGAGCCACATACCGCACTATCTTAATTAAGAACCTCTTAACATGGATCAAATAACACTAGTATCATCATGATTATGATTAGAACCCTCGACTGTCATTCTCAATTTTGAAGTTTCTCGTTTAATGCCATACTGAGCAATATTCCAGCTATACGTCTGAAATACTTGAATGATGGACATCTTCTGCATCTATCTAGGCTATTTGGATATCCACATATTAAGCATGTCCGCATACCCAATCTTAAACAGGCAAGAGTTGCTGATGACATCAGCAGGCAAGGGTGGCAATTTTAACCTCATTTTGAATGTTGTCATTTATTAAACAGACATTGACATCATGATTAAATTATTACAATTATGTTTCAAAACATTTGTTTATAATTAGCTTTGACAACTGTTTAAAGCTTTCAATTTCATTGACATTAGTAGTAACTACTTTTTAATGGAGTAATGGATATTACTGGTAATGTTTAATCCAACCAAATGACAGTACTTTCGAATTTTACAAGCTTCAACTTTCAGGAAATTATAAATGTCAGACACTAAATTTAAAATCAGCCTTTATAGCCATGGAAACCAACAAACCTGCCAGGATATCTTTGAGCCCTTGGTTGCTTTCCCCGGTGGGGGCACCCATGGCCCTCCCCCCGGACTGCGACTTCGAGCCCGAGCTGAGGCGGTGCTCTTGCGTGATTTGCTCCTCAAGTTTTCACCACCAAGGGAACTAGAAAACCCCTGAAACATGAAAGTGATTAACATTAGGGTAGTCAGTTTCAGAGTGTGAGACTTAGTACTAACTTGGTTCTGCATTTCACTCTACATCAACTATATACAGTGGAAACTGCCTAAGTAAAGACTGCTTAACTAAACAGACCTGATAAGTAAACACTATTCTTTGGTCCTGGCAAATTTCTTCATTAATTATCACTATTACAGTTCGGTTAACTAAACTCGGATAAGTAAACAATACCGCTTAACTAAACGTCTTCGCACGGTCCCTGGAAGTAAATTATTTAACAAAAGAGACCGGATAACTAAATTAGTGATTACCACATAATCCGACATGATTGGCACATGTCAGTCTCCAGTTAAACAAACATCCTACTTGCAGCTCGCTGGCGTCATGCAGTTGACGATACACTGACAACTGGAAGCCAGATAAGTTGTTCATTGTTACATATGCATACATATACATGCATATGGCTGTCATTTGCAGGTTTTTATAAGTTTGGATAAGTAAAATACCTGATGAGTAAACAATTTTGGCGAGTCCCTTGAAATTTTACTTATCAGGTTTCCACTGTACTTAAGGAAACCTTCCAACCAACTGCCTTACTGAAGTTAGCATAATACAAAGTAGAATTTAGTGGCTTAACATGCTTAAGACTTGGCACATAATAATGTGATGGCACTTATGGTCATATGATGACAGTAATTGTCATATTTAGAATACCATACCTCAGTTAAACACCCTGGACTTATCATTCAGCTTATATTTCTTTTTGACACTCTTTACTCCTCAACACCACATCCTTATCTCAAAGATTATAATGGGGGAATTTCCTTTTGTAAATATTAACTATGAAAATTTTAATATGAGACAAAAAAACTTAACTGAAAACATGGTTGAGCAATTAAAATATGCTAAAACTAAGAGCACTACATCGTATAACTTGACAAAGATGATTATCGATTATGACTAAAAGATGTCAATATATATGCAAAACCCTGAACACTGTAATTACTTGTAAAAGTTGCTTGACCTTGTTTTTCTCTGAAGCGAACATCACAAAAAGTTTGTTTACCTGTCGCGATCTCACCTTTGTCCCTTTCTTCTTGATAGTCTTTTTAACATGTACATGTATAGGGGTGTCGTCCTCTACATGAACGTGGACTGGAGATGTTGGACGAAGACCTTTCTCCACACCCATTATACCTGATAGATTAAAGATAGAAAATTTTAAATGACAACAATCTGTCCATTCTTAAAATATAACTGAGCATCTTTAAACAATGCACAAAATGCAAAATAATGGATGCATCTTTTGCATCTGATTTCAGTTTTACAGCAAGTATACAGTTTTCAAAACAGATACATGTACATCGTCATGTACATTGCCAAAAACTGTCCTTTTGCAGCATTTTCTGCAGATTGCTATCATGGAATTTATAACCACCAGCAGCATGAAATTGAAAGTATCTTTATCATCACATAAGATCAAGTTAATAAAATCAAGTCTGACAACAAACATCATTTTTGTTTGAATGATCAAATCTGAACATTTTCATGCTGCTAAGAATAGTTATATTTTGTGTCCATACTCCAACTTTTTATCAGATCCAATAATGGATGAGTCTGTGATTTTACTTTCAGATTATAATTACACTAAAGTATATATCTGAATATGGGATAATTGTTGAGACACAACAACAAAATGTGACAAAACAAAATATAATAAATAATTGATTACCTGTTCAATCTATTACTGTTGTTAGCAGGTGGGTCATTAACTATTCAAAGATTTGTTGGTAAATGATTTATTATACTAGTAATTACGGTTTCGGTAGTGTATTCTTTGTAAAGGATTCCATATTCCTAAGACAAGATTAATTTATTGTGAATTTGAAATCGGCGCTAATTTCCATACTTGTTCATACAAGTTTCAATATAGATTTCACTAACTTGTAATATACAACATGCAGATTGGGGTTTTAAAGATTAGAAGTGACGTGTTTGAAACAAAATTTTGCTTGAGAAGATGCATTAAAATAGATCAAAAGTTCATCTACCTCGCGTTACTAAGGAGAGGAATTTCAGAAATTCATGCAAAAACACGTTGACATTTCGACAAGAAGACTGACACATTTCGCTGACATTTCTGAGTTACCTTTCGAAATACACTATAATCATTCCTTAATAAATAATTGCAAACACATAAACGAACCTTTTGGCATCAGTTAACACCTATCCATCCACTCAGTTCAATAATTCAGTCCAAAATAAAGGGAAAATGATGATGGATCGGCAGAATCTTTGTTGTTGTTTCCATCGGATGCAAATCCCTGCAATTTCATTGGTTGCAATCAAATATAAATTTCAGCCGAGAAACATGAAGAGTGAATTAAGGGAAGCTACTCTGTCAAATGCCACCCACCAAAATCGCTTTTGGCAAAGCGCCTAAATTCTTTTCATTTTTATGGTTAGTGTCAGAGACCATATATGTTCATGTGTTCACCAACGAATGTCAATGCATTATCATATTTGGGAGAAATGATTATTTATGCTATATTATATATTCCCATGCTAGACAGTATCATTTAAAACATTTAAGATTTTACGCCGCTTCCCACACTGTTCATGTATGGTTTGGGGAGGTTGGTAACATTCTAAGGCTGGGACGCATAACCCGGATACCCGGGACGGGTGGACCCGGGTACCCGTCTCAATACCCGGACCCGTTATGATCATGTGACCAATAGATTAAACAATATAATATGTTATTCTTTCATGATTAATAGGTTGTATTGTCTTTGAAGATTTAGACATAATTTATAGTCACCTGTTTTGACTATAATGCATGGTTTAGATATTGAGAAACGCGAAATTTTAACTTCCGAGCTGAAGAATATATTGCCATTTCTTACAAATTCGATGTCAGGAATTAACATAACGGGTATCCGGGTAGGGTAGGGTAGGGTAATAGGGGGTAGGTTACCCGGGTAGAAAATTTGGACCCGTCCCAGCCCTATAACATTCATCGTATACTGACATGTAACTGACTGACTGAGTTTGGTTTTACGCCGCTTTTAGCAATATTCCAGCAACATCACGGCGGGGGACACCAGAAATGGGCTTCACACCTTGTACCCATGTGGGGACTCGAATGCGGGTCTTCGGCGTGACGAGCCAACGCTTTAACCACTAGGCTACCCCACCGCCCCTGACATGTAACATTCTTCGTAGACTGACATGTAGTCTCTGAACTCAACATATTTTACAGAAAAAAACTGTTCGTAAAAGATAATCATAAACTATAAGGAAAAGGAGTCCAGAAACTTTCTTTAATTTCAGAAACTGTAGAAATCTAGACTTGACACATATTCTACACTTGCAAGGGCTTTCTTGGATATGTTTGCTTCGGGGCCTGTATGACAGACTCCATTCTTTGTTACTAGTCAACTCTTTGACAAACGATGGTATTGTTCTGTAAACCCATTGTCATAATTTTAAGCTTGGTTAACGGTGTAAGCGTATACACAGAAGCCTCGTTCTGGTTTCTGGTCCTCGAAGCAAAAAGGACAAATTGGAACCTGTTTGGATTGACGGACAGGAAGTAGAAACAGTAGAAGAGTACAAATATCTGGGTACTATCATTGATAATAAACTTTCATGGAAATCAAATTCACATCGTGTACATGGGAAAGGACAACAGATCCGAGGCTTTTCTTTCTGCGAAAATTGTTATCTTTTAATGTAGACACTACTATCTTGAAATTATTCTACCGAACATTCATCATAGTAGTTTCTGCTTTCATGCGTGGTATGGCAATCTTCCTCTTACACAGAAAAACAAAATTGACAAAACTGTAAACATATCCAGCATTTTTTTATTTTCATTTATTTATTTGTTATTTTATTTTATTTATTTTTTGCGGCTTCTATTTCAAACCTTTTCCCTTTCAGTTTGAGTCAAGATTTAAAAAGAAAGCTCTGGCCATTCAATCGGATCCGTCACACTGTTTGATTGAATATTATGAATTCCTGCCTTCTGGCTGTCGTTTCAAAATCATGTATTACAAAGCTAATCGAACGTCATCTATCCCATACAGCGTAAAACTTCCTCCACAATTGTGATAGTGAGATCAATGATGTGGCATGCGTGATTATTATATTAGGTACTTTGATTATGATTCATCATTATATTGTATATTGCGGGACAATAGGTTTATCCCATCTCAAAAGTATCTTATCTTTTATGAGATAAAATATGAAGTTGTTATCCGTAAGTTTGTAATCTTTGTCATGTAACTGTATCACTGCTCATGATGTTTAGGGAGAAGCATGTAATTTGTGAACCCCAACCCCCGCCCACCACCACCACCACCAACTAATTGTATGTGCAAAGTTGCTAGGTAACACACTCACACACACCGCGTGTCATGTACAAATCACTAGTCGTGAGTACATGCACACCCGTTCTCTTGTCCAATTGATGAAAACTGCACTTTGTGCCTTTGATACACATGGTGCTGTAAAGGTGGGATTGTATTAAATTACAATTGTTTGCTGTACTGCTATTTTCACTTTTCTATTTTAAAATTACTTACGTCTGTACAGTTATTGTGTTTCTATAAAAACTCAGAATATTTTATCAGTTTTTCCAAAGGTGCGATTTGAAATATGACTTCAAGAAACTCTTATATGAAGAAACATCTGGACTCTGTGTCAAGCATTCATCACCAGACTCAAATGTAATTATTGTCCTGTGTTAAGTATTGTTTACCATCTATAATCTTGATTTAACTGGCTCGTTTGTAATGTTTTGCCATTGTGAGTTTTTGTTTTATTTTATAAATGTAGAGTGAAGTTCTGTGTTGTGTATCGTGTAGTAACACGACCGGTTAATAAATCTGAATAAAGCATAACTAAATAATCAACAATAATGGGTTAAACGTATAACGAATCCCCCGCCTTGCATTAAATTCCAGTTAGCGACAAGCCCAGGAATGTAATTACGAAAGAGTTACTTCCCTTCAAACACAACTATGCAACCACGCACATGCGCATTTCAAATCCGCCATTTCCCCTGGCAGGTGCGTAAAATATAGATTGTGTGAAATCAGTTGGATGAGTAATGTTTAATATGCGAAATTGCATGTTCATCATGTGAGAAATGTTTTAAAGATGGATCACTACATATATAAAACAGAATAGGTTGTAGAGACAGTTCTTATATTTGTAATTAAACACGTTTTATCAACTACCGGTGCATTCGAGTTCCCACCCACGTGCGAATATTTAGCAGTGGATATGATAATGTCCTTTTCACGAGTATGTGAAAGAAACATACTTCGCTTTATCATGTGAGAAGTGACACAGCAGTATTATGTTTAACGGACTTAATTTGATTGTTTTTATGCAGTTACAAAGTATATGGTTGATACAGGACTAGGACTAACCAACGAAACGGTTTTCTTATGTATGTTCAATATTTTTAATAACAGTTTGAAATTAAAACATAGTCCCCCACACGTTGTAAGATACCCATTATTGCAGCTTACCTTCCACGAAGCGAAACGGATATGGACTAAGAAATATTCATGTGTCACTGTCGATGATAAGGTGCCATCTGAAATTTTATCAAAGCTAAAGATAGCATACTGAGCGATACAAACGTGTATGTACTATGGTAGTTGTAAATATTAGTATTTGAAGACTTGATGTAATGGGAAATTTTGGAAAACTTAAAAAAAATAATATTTTTAATGTGTGGGATGTTTTAGATTTCTACAATTTGTTTTGACACTGTTCACAAACAGTTTTCAAATAAGCCTGGGTTCTTCAGTCGTTGCCAGTCATGTAATATGCTTTGTGCATTCACGTAACACGTGTTCTAGTGTATGTGTTCTCGTATAAGTGCTGAGAAAAGATGCTGTGAATGAGGCCACTGGTAGCTGTTGCTGTAGCCACAGTGGTAGCGCACATAAAGACACTCTGTCCAGTCATGGGCTAAATATTCTATTCAGTTGCGACTATACCCAAAGAAATTAATAAGAAATTAATATTAGTAAATAAATTGAGATTCCTATTAATGAAATATAAATAAAAGAATGGCAAGTAAAAGAAATGAAGGTTAAGTGACATATCCTGATAGGAGGACTACTAGACAAACAGACCACTAGAAAAGTATATTTGGGAGATCATATTTTCTGTAACAGTGTCGTCCGATCTCTGAAACTTTTAGTAATATTAAAGTAAAGTCATGGCAGGGGACATCAGGAATGGGCTTCATACATTGTACCCATGGGAGAAATCAAACGCAGGTCTCTGATGTGATGAGCGAACTCTGTAACCGCTTGGCTACTCCTTTTCTGTAACAAGCATGAGAATCACTATATTGTGATTTAAGTAGGTTATGTTAGACTCTACTGCATGTATTTAAAATAACTCGAATAACATCTGTTTTGTCACTTTGAAAAACCCTACAATGGATGGATATGGCTCATATGAAAGAAAAGCAGTGCTCTGTTCTGTGAAAATAACTTTGTGCAAAGAATGACGTAACCTTTGGTCCCATACTCCGATAGTCCAAGGTTATAAGATTCTGGAAGAAACCTTTATGAACGGGGGCCATATGCCTGGAGTCATTATTCGCTGTCAGGTTTATGGCATGTTAGTTTTCCACAATGAGCTAACAGTAAATGAAAGATTGTGAGGTCAAATGCATGCAAGTGAATAAATTGCTTTCACAGTTTGTTTTTTTAGGTGCGCTCACATTTGTATAGACATTTCAGTCCTGCCTATTCATAAAGTCAAGTAGGTATTTACAGAATGTAATAGGTGCCACTCCTTGCAACTGAACAGAATTGTGTAGTTTTTCATTTCTGTACACCAGCAGTATACACGTTTGCAATCTAGATGTATAGTATTACCAGAATAAGAATGAAATAATTTTCTGATATTTGAACATTATTATTATTATTCATACTGATTGGTCATTTGAGATCATGACGACACAGTGCTTCAATAATAAGAAAAATATGATGGCATCCATTGTTCATGATGTCACAATTTGATTGTTATGTCATCTGAACAGAAAGGTGCCTTTTTGTGAAGTTTTTCTTCAGGGTTGAATTTTAGATATTCCTTTTTATTGTCTCGTGAAATAATATGCTATAAAGTCAGAATTACTGATTATCTGTCTTTTTTGTGATTGAACGTGGTATGTTTCTGTAAGTTATGACTCAGAAGTAACACAATTCATTCACTAGCGAGGGAGAATCTGTATTTTCCGATATCTTCTTGATTATTCTCTAAATATCCCCATTCACATATATTTATAACTGATGAAAATGTTACTTTTGTTTTATGATCGATTGAATTGTTTTCAAGTTCATTCCCCATTTTTTACATGTATGTGATACTTTGATCCTTTGTTCACTATACTTCAGTACTGCATGTGAATTTTTTTGTGTAGTGTGTTTCATCATCCTTTTGTTTCTCCATCAGATATTTTTTTCCTCAATCACTTGGGGATCTTACAACTCGGTATCTCAGATTCAGACATAATTCAGAGCTTTTTTTTGCCGTCCAAATAGGAGGATAAGGTAATTGGTGATGAATTTTCTTTTTTCTTTGTTTTTTTCTTTCTTGATGTATGTTACATTTTTATTTCTCAACAGATTCAAAATCAGTTGAGATATTTTCATTTTTCAGGTGACATGGGCAAATATTACCTAATCAGGCTGGTCGCGTAGCATAGAGTTTGTTTAAAAAAGAAGTAATTCACTAAAGATATAAATAGGAAGTATAATTATAAGACCCCATTTCCTTGAGTATAGACTGAGATAAAACAAATTGGGATAAGAGCATCTAGAAACAATTTTGGTTGTGTCTTCATTGGCTGTTGGTCTTCGGTTAAACGTAAGGGTGAAACAGTACGCTCATACCACGGTACAGTACGTATTGCGGTACAAGACCCTCGGTTTGGTATATGAGAACTTTCTTCTGGGGGAAATAGCGTCCGTCTAGCAAAAAATTAATAGATTTTGACAAAATGATTTGATTTTTAGACATTTTAGACAAGGTTTAAAATGGTTAAAAAACATGGTACGAAAACCGAAGATACCAAATTTTTTAATTGCATTACGGTATACCAACGAACCGAAGGCCAAATCCTGTGATTCTACTAATACATCAGTATATTGTTTCACCCCTAGTTAAACACATTGATAGTTACAATACAAGTAGCATGCAGAAACTTTCTGACTTCAGCTTATTATCTTGTAAATGCCTAACAATTTTTGAGTAAAAAATTTCCAGGGCCATGTTGGCTTGCTGTCAAATACACTAACTACATACTTTAAGCACTTGAGAGAAAATTTTGCAGAAGATTGGCTGAGGAATAGTCATGAGAGTTATCCATTGCATTTGCAGCTTATCAAGCCAAAAAATGTGAACAAGGCTCAGTAATGCCCGCAACCGTGACTCTTAATTTCAGCTGAACAAACAATGAGTAATTCTGACAGTTAATTAGCTGATGTTTGGAGTCACTTTCAGGGTTATTGGTGATCTTTGCTCATATTTTTTGGCTTGTTTTATGTGAGTTCTTTCAGTTTCATATATTTCTGAAAATAGTGTTAGTTTAAACAACTAGCAGAGTAGACGTCAGCATTTTTAAAATCATATTTACTTGACCAGAATTTAGGTTTATTGCATTGTTTATAAATTTAATATAACTGTTTGCAAATATTTCATGAAAAATGCAGATATGCAGGAATTACGGGCTATAGCCATGTTTTTGAGTGTGGCATCTTTGCTGTGAAATTGTTTGAATCCATTCTGAAAATAGAAAAAAAACATACCAATTTTCAGCCTGATTGCTGTGATACAATACAGTAATACAGTAACAATCAGTCCACTCGTTTACACCAATCATCTGACAAAGATGCACCCCTTCACAATAATGACCCAACCAGTTGTGACACGGTCACGCAATTCATTAGTATTCACTTATCAGGTCAAGCTGAACCAGCTGTAGTGATGAAGCCATGTGTAAGACCATGTGTTGTGTCTCAGCGTGCTGGACCAGTTGAGCTCAATCCCTCATAGTTTTCTTCATACACGTTTTCTGTTGAAGTCACAATGTTTTTAGTGACTACACAAATAGCACATACTAATATCGTGAGTTGGGGCTTTGGCATGGGTCTGCAAGATTTGTACACAATTCTAATATGTGGTTGGTTTGTTGTTGAACACCGCGCTCAGCAATATTCCAGCTATATGGCGGCGGTTTAAATAACTGAGTCTGGATCAGACAATCATGTGATCAACAGCATGAGCATCAATCTACACAATTGGAATATAGGGACATGTGTCAACCAAGTCAGTGAGTCCCGATCCCGTTAGTTGCCTCTTACAACAAGCATGGGTTACGGAAGACCAATTCTAACCCGGATCTTCACGGGTTTTAAACTTTATTCTAATGTGTAAAAATACTTAAATGTTAAAGAATTTTTGAATTTGGAAGTAATTATTTTGTTTAAAACCAAGGAATTTTCATAATATACTGAACAACATTAGAAACGCACCACACTAAAATGCACCGACGATGCTCAGATATCAGGGATACATTTCAGTCGGACGGGGGATATATGGGTGGTGCATTTCTAATGTTGTTCAGTATATGCTACTCAAAAGAATAAGACTTTTCTTCAGTATTGCTATGGTTGTCTGTAATACAAAAGAATGTGTTCTTAAGTTATTTTGGGTAGTATATTTAACTTTAGAATGGCTAAATTTAACGCTTCAAGCGTTCACTATTTTGTGAAATTTTTGTTAGCATGTTCAGTGAATGTTAAAATTGTGTTCTATCTGTAACTACATTTCTTAACTACATTTGGCACCTGGGGTTTAGTGCTTAACTACATTTTGCACCGATTGTTTGGTTAAGAGCTCTAATATCATGAATATTAGATTTTGTTTTGCTAGCCACATTTAGAATGTTTGGATTATTATCAATCTCTTTTTTCGTATTGTAGTATTTTCTTTTTCTTTCATTCAAACTTTGTGTTCTAAATGGTACTGTCATTAAATGAACAGGGATTTACTATGGAGATGAATATTTGGTCAAAGGTCTGTTGTAAATTCGTTCATAATTGCTTTAAGTAAAACATGTCAAAATCATGTTAGGGAATTTCCAAAGCAGTCGATTTTTGCCCCATTTTTGCATGAACCAAACAATTGTACTAGTTGTTGTATAAAAAGGTGACATTTATCCTGAATCTGAACATGAACACATTTTCCCCTTTAATGCAACTGATTTTTTTTTTTTTGGTCAAACTAAGGCCGGACATAAAAAATCCCCTTGTGGTTTACTGGCTCAATTCAGTGCTTCCAACCCTATTTCCTTTTCAATAGTTTTAAGACCCAGTCAGTGACAGTATATACTTTGATGCCATTTTTTTGTTAAGCCCCTGTGCATAGACAGTTCCTCTTAACTTGCCATGTAAGAGTATTTCCATCTTAGTACAGCTGAGAAACCATTGTCCTACCAAAATTATGGAGTGAAAAACAACAATGACTAAGGGACCGTTCATAATTTATGGCTAGGGGGGGTGATGATGATTTTTATGGAGAAGCATGTACAATGTGAATGACACCACCCTAAAATTTATGTACAAAATAAGTGCCCCCCCCCCCTTCTCATGTCATGTACAAAATCAATGACCACCCCTCCCCTTCCCATAATTTATAAGCTTAGTTTTAAACATATTTTTATGTACAAAATTGCAGGGAAAAACACACACACACACACACCACACCACACCACACCATACGGAACAAAATGGGTGACCCCCCTTAAAATCATCATCACACACACACACACACACACCTAGCCATAAATTATGAACGGTCCCTAACGTAACAACTGTATTAACCCGAATTGGAAAATAATTTAACCTACCTACCCTAATTTTGGAACAGCTGTACGTAACCACAACATTTTGTCTGTGTGGCCTAATACCCCAAATGGTAAACATTTGCACCATGGATCCTATTGAAATCTATTTTAAAATTTTAAGCCAGTACTTTTGGGTGTCCATATCCATTGTTTGGGGAATTTAATTCTTCATTTTTCTTTCAGTGCACTTTTCTCTCTGCACTTTTCTCGACACTGTTTCCTTGTAAGGGTTCACAATCTTCCAGGGGCTTTCACAACTGTATTTCTGATTTTATTTATTAATGTACTAAAATCAATGTTGTGCCGATAAAATCTGATTGAATCACCAGGGAACAGGTCAGAAAAATGATTAATTTTCATGAATATTCTACTGAAAACGTTTGTTTTCTGTTTACCAGGTATCGCTACATTGAATTTTTTTCCTTTTTTTTTCATTTTTCCTCTTCACTATGGCCTCTGGAAGACGTCAGGTTGTCTGTCTGAAGACCCTCTCGGCTAACTATCACAATGGCAGACAACTCCAACCACGAACCTTATCATCAACTACCTGCCACAAACCTTATCAGGACGAAGAGTTTGGTCCATGTTCCTAAGTATTGGTCCTATCAAGTCCTGCAAGATCGTCCGTGACAAGTCATCTGGGTACAGCTACGGTTTTGGCTTTGTCGATCTACTGAAGATGAAGATGATGCGCATAACGTGCAATTAAGACATTGAATGGGCTGCAGATGCAAAATAAAAAGATCAAAGTTGCTTTGGCCCGACATGGAGGTGATGCCATCAAGGGGGCGAACCTGTACGTGCGGAATCTCCCCAGGGAGTGGAGAGAGGAGGAGGTTCATTCTTACTTCCAGCCTTACGGCAAAATCATCCAGACACGAGTTCTGGTTGACCCCAATACAGGTGTGTCCAAAAGGGTAGGCTTTGTTCTGTATGACACAAGATCAGAGGCAGAAGCAGCATGTAGTGCCCTGGGAGGAAAGAACCCACCTGGTTCAAATGAGGCCTTACTTGTAAAATTTGCTGATGATAACGCAAAGAAGCTCCGCCCACCTCCCGGGTACCAGCATGGTCCTCAGCATCATTCTGCCGGCTACAGCAATCGATTTCCCTCCCCCGGACCCATGCGCAACCAACGGAACCGTTTCCACTTCAACCCCATGGGTCAAGCTCATCCAGGACAAGGCCCTTACAACCAGCCCGGGGGTCATATCCTGTTTGTGTACAACATTGGAACTGATGCTGATGAGAAGCTGTTGTGGCAGTTGTTTGCCCCGTGTGGCACCGTGCAAAAGGTTAACGTTATAATGGACACAGGGAAAGGTTGTTGCAAGGGCTATGGGTTTGTTACTATGACAAACTACGAGGAGGCTGAGTACGCCATTGAGTGCTACAACGGTTACTGGCTCAAGGGTCGTCAGCTGCAGGTGTCCTTCAAGAACTAAGTGACCGGTCTCCTGATGGTCAAATAGCTTTACCTACCATGCATAAAGATGTGCTGTTACTTCGCTGTTACTCTTATGTTTTGGACAATCAATCACGCCAAATGTAAACATGTAAGATGATTTTGCTTGTGACCTGAATCATATTCAATGTGTAATACTGTATTCAATATATTAAGCGTCAGTGGATAAGGAGTCGTATTCATTGGGTGGATGCTCGATAAAGACAGTCATAATCATTTGTTAATGCTACGTGGTTTGAGTATTTTGCTGTATGATGGTAATAAATAGTTTGGTGAGTGTTATTTGAACACGTTCAAAGGACTAGCTTGTTAGTGGGGCAATGGGGTAGCCTTGTGGGTAAAGCATTCCCTCGTCACGCCAAGGTTCCAGGTTCGATTCCCAACATGGGTACAGTATGTGAAGCTCATTTCAGGTGTCGCCTGCAATGATATTGTTGGAATATTGCTAAAAGCAACATGAAATTAGACTCGCTCATCCACTGGATGGTTATAGTGTTCGATTAACAGGTTCGATTCCGATCTCATGCCCACCTTTATTCTTCATGTCTGATGAGAAATGATAAGCCGTTTCCTTATCTCAATATTCCCCTCTTCTGTAAATACACACCTTCGTGTGACTAAAAAAAAAGAATACTCTTGGTCTTTCACCCTCGTGGAATAACAAGGTCAGCTTGATCTTTCTTCATCTGCATCTATTAAAAAATTGTTGACGAAGAATTTTACTCTTATGTACGTCATAGGTGCAGTGGGGTAGCCTGAGGGTTAACAGATGAAGATTCAGGTTCGATTCCCCACATGGGTACAATGTGTGAAGGCCATTTCTGGTGTCCCTCACCCAGATATTGCTGGAATATTACTAAAAGGGGCATAAAACAATATTATCTACGACATAAATTGATAGATATATAGGCTATTACTAAGTGATCGAAATCTAGTTTCTTTGCCCACCCACTCTTCTGGTTACAGTGAGAAACACAGAAATAAAATACAGATGGCCTAATATTGCTGAAATACATTAAAGGAATGAAGCTCCACCCATAATTTGCTAGAGAAAGGGTATTTGGTAGATCTGGACGATTAGTACATTGAATGCAGTTGAACACAGTATGTGAGTTGAGAGAAACTGTTTCAGTTTTTTTCGTGTTTGTAGCCTCAATTGGAAAATGGTTCCAAGTAATTTTTCTGTTTCATTGTTTCATTGTGTACATGTGGGCATTATCTGGGTTTTTTCCTATCGAGATTAATCAACACTAATCAGTTCAAGATAATCAATTAACCTTATTAGATTTCATTTGAGAGGATACTCCCTGTTATTCTTGATGGACAATAATTCAACTTATTCTGTCCCTTTGTGTTGACTATGTAGAGTGGTATGTGATTTATGGCAGTATTTTGATTCTGTGATTATATTTCTTGTCCCCACTCTTGGTGTTACAGCTTGGCTGCTGTGATTATATTTCTTGTCCCCACTCTTGGTGTTACAGCTTGGCTGCTGCGGTATTAAACATTTGTCTCATCAGTGGTATAAACATGTGGTTTGGAATAGACACACACAAGATAGGGATCCTGATTCTGGGTCGAACAGGTTCTCCCTAAGATGTGTAGTAGCAACTGAGTGGATTGGGACGTGAGGCTGGGGGAATCTTTACTGAATCTTTGCAGGTGTACTTGTAATATTATTTAGTTTTTTTTCGTTAAGAGTACTTTGTTTTTGCGAACCACAACTTATTTTCCTGTCTGTTAGTGTGTGCAAGGGATGTGAGAGTAAACATTAAGCCTGACACGACATTCCACTCTACAGGATGTTAAGGGGTGGAGAAATATATGTCAAAAAAGTTTTAACATTCTGACTTCTTTACAGCTAACATATCCAAAAATCAGTTCTGTGCACTTAACAGCAGTGACAGTGTTTTAGTGACTTTTTAAAACTGTTTAAACACTGATTCGTTTTGGGATTGTCATGGAAACAGATATGACAGGCAACAGAGTTGTTCTTTTTAATCCTGTCCAGGTAGACTACTTTGGTGTTACAATAAATTAATAATTATGGATGTTTGACTTGGAAATACTTCTCCACTCCTTTAGATATTAACATGTTTTATCTGAACAACCGTTCCAGTAAGCTTTAAGCACAACCCACTCACTCCATTGGGCATTAATGCTGTGTTATCAATGAAATACTGTTCATATAGGCTTAAAGCACAACCTGTTGTACGCTGAGTCTTGAATAAGCAATACATGTCCAGTTAACTTGTCTTACAAATGATCAGGAGCAGAAGGTTATGAATGTGATAATAACCTGAGATGCCTTTCGTAAGTGGCATAGTGATCTAAGCTTCTCTGTAAGTAACTGATGTCATAATGATAAATGTTGTCCAGGGAGATGTTACTTCTGGAAGTGTCAGTTGGATGCATTATTTGAAGCGCTTGGAGAGTGAAAAATATTAAAATGAAACGTTCACATTGTATATCGAGTTTACCCTCTGCTGACTTTCCAATAAAGACACGAGTATTAATGCAGACTAAACTTCGTGTTTTGTGTTGTTGTCGTAGTTTAGACCCTGTTAATGGTTAAAGCGTTCGCTTGTCACGCGGCACCGACCTGGGTTCGATTCCCCACATGGGTACAATGTGTGTAACCCATTACAGGTGTCTCCTGCCGTGATCGTGCTGGAATATTGCTAAAAGCGGGCGTAAAACTAAACTCACTCACTTGCTCACTCACTTAGACACTGGGAATTTTTTTGGGTGTTATTTGGTATTTTTAATGGAACAGTAATCATGACAATAGTATAAATCATAAAGTGTTTGCCCTGTGCAGGCTGAAATCATCTGTACATGGTCAGATCTGAGGTATGCATGAAGGCTATGCAAGTTAGGCTCTAATCTCACAATAAAGTCTGGCTTTGTGGAGTAGCCCAATGGTTTGTGTTTCCTATCACGCCAAAGGCGCGTGATCGATTCCCCAAATGGGTACAATATGTGAAGCCCATTTCTGGTGTCCCTTGTCATGATGTTGGAACATTGCTTAAAGCGGAGTAAAACCAAACTCACCATAAAATCTAGATGTTTATGCCTAGTAGATGTGGGGCCAACGCTACCCACTACTTAATGCAGATGGGGAGGCGGGGGAAGAGCATCCCTTCTTTTGAGTTAAGAACTGATGTAAACTATCAAATTTGTTTAATCACATCTAAACATGGTTAGTTTTTTTCACACTCAACTTGAGATCGTGTTAAATATATAGTGGTCAAACTAAGTTAGGGATATTGGTATTTTTATGATTTATATTTTATCAGTGTGTCAATGAATAAAAAGATCATTTGTTCATAATTTCAAAATTTACATATATCCCTAACTATTTTTGTCCAGTATAGAACGTCAGTGCAGAAGAATATCCTGTCTTGGCTATTTCGGAAACAAGTCCGTTTAGTGTAAGGAAATAGCTCTACTAGTAGCATCTGCCATTCACAAAGTTTGGGACCCGTGAAGATCTAGGGTAGAATAGGCTTCAGCAACCCATGTTTGCCACAAATAAGGCGACTATGCTTGTCGTAAGAGGCGACTAACGGGATCGGGTGGTCAGGCTCGCTGACTTGGTTGACACATGTCGGTTCCCAATTGCGCAGATCGATGCTCATGCTGTTGATCACTGGATTGTCTGGTCCAGACTCGATTACTTACTCAACTGGAATATTGCTGTGTGCGGCCTTAAACAAAAAACACATAACGTGTACTCGGAGGCCTCAGGCGAAGTATTGGACGTTCATATCTGAAGCAACAGTGCTAAGCACACTCGTAAAATGCCTCCGCAACGATGTCTGAATGAACAAACACGCGAAGTGTTGAATAAAGGTGGGGTGAATCCATATCCGGAGTTTTCCGAATATTTGGCAAATCGAAAGGTATGATTTCTTGACCTGCGACAAGTACTGTCAAACGGGTGAGATTGTAATGAAACTTAAAATAGCCGGAGTAAAAACCGACACCCAGACTAAGATTATCATTACCTTAGTGCAGGACGCAATAGATTCAAATCTGTTACTGTCAGTAGAGAATTTCGTATAATGACCGGAAGACGCATCTCACTTCTACCGTTTTGAACCGGTTCTATCTCAAGGATGCGGGGCGTTGGGGTAGCCTGGTGGATAAAGCGTCCGCTCGTCACGCGGAAGACCTAGGTTCAATGCTCCACATGAATACATTGTGTGAAACCCAGGGGTGGAAATAACCGATTGCCCGACGCCCGAGTCCAGTGTTTTTTTCTGTCGGGCAAGCATATTTGTCTATCACACTGTACCGGTGTCGTGTTGACTTTCCAATCTTAATTATGTTGTTTATTTAATAAATCAACAAGAAAATCGGCCAGTATAGTGGAAAAATTATCAGGGCAAGTGATTTTACTTGTGCCACAGTACCGGAGTACACTAGCAATTTTAAAGTTATTTCCAGCCCAGAAGCCTATTTCTGGTGTCATGATATTGCTGGAAAAGCGGCGTAAAACTAAATTCATTCACTCACTGTATGATTGTGGTCCAACGCCTCACTAAGTTGTACTGTCAGCTAACCGACGGTGATCAGGAAAGGCGTGAAACGATTTTTGTTTCCCGGAGCTTTACTGTGTACATTTGTGATAACTTCTATGTAATGTTCAAACATGAATTAAGTGGGGGCTAAAGTATCCTCCCAAAACTTCCACATCCCAAGGGGCGGTGGGGTAGCCTGATGGTTAAAGCGTTGGCTCGTCACGCCGAAGACCCAGGTTCGATTCCCCTCATGGGCACAATGTGTGAAACCCATTTCTGGTGTCCCCCGTCGTGATATTGCCTGAAAATTGCTAAAAGCGACGTAAAACCCAACTCACTCCACAACCCAAAACTTCCACAGCTTATAACAACAACATTTCAGATTGACTGCACACACTTTAGCATACTGATTACCCCAGTCTGTGATGGTTTAACCCATTAATCAATAGTGAATTCAAACACTCACTTAATAATAAATCATATATTTTATTAAGGCAGGGTTATTAACAAAAATACATATCTTTTGTAGTGATTCAAGCGTCCGCTCATCACGCCGAAGACCCGGGTTCGATTCCCCACATGGGTACATGTATGAAGCCCATTTCTGGTGTCCCCCGCCGTGATGTTGCTGGAATATTGCTAAAAGCGGCGTTCACAATACGCAACCTATCATCCTATCGCCCTTGTTACCTGCTTAACAGCACCGCCTCCGGAGAGCGGAAGGTCGCGGGTTCGATCCCCGACCGCGTCATACCATAAGACGTTAAAATATGGTACTTGTTGGTCCCTGCCTGGCACTCGGCATTAATGGGTACAATAAGGCTCAGAGTCAGTATAATGTGTCTGAGTTGGGTATTCATGCTTAACTGCGGCATGGTATCTCAGTGGGCTAGCACTTTAAAACCTGCGTAAGTCTGGGCTAGTACAAGCAGCCGCACATACACATACACACGCATGCACGTCGTCATATGAGCGAAATATTCTCATGTACGACGTAAAACCCAATTTCACCTCACCTGCTGAACAGTGTCGGGTATATAGTGATGCTTAGACAGTGTCATATTCTATATTCAAAGCGCAATGAAGGCAACACTGATACAAGGACACTTATTGACACTCAATGTATAGTTGCCCCAACTGAGCTACGTTGAGATTCATCTGTCTTGGCGGGTTTTTTTCTGTTTAACGCTACACTCTGCAATACTCCAACTACTTGACGAAAACCTCCAAATATCAAGTCTCGACCAGGCAATCCAATGACTGATATTGCAATCAACGATGCTCGAGTTCGCTGACTGATGAGTGAGTTTAGTTTTACGCCGCTCTTACCAATATTCCACGTCACGACAGCGGTCACCAGAAATGGCAGCTCCTTCTGAGGAACCTTTGGGTTTTAGTAACCCATGCTTGTCATAAGATGCGACTAACGGGATCGTTATACTTGATATTATACTTGGTTGAAACATGTTATCGTATCCAAATTGCGTAGATCGATTCTCATGACGTCATTCATTGATTGTCTGGTCCAGAGTCGATTATTTACAAATCGCCATCATATAGCTGGAATACTGCTGAGTGCGGCGTTAAACAACAAACAAACTTCTGCGGATTACAATTTTCTATTTGGCGCGAACCCGTGAAGGTCCGGGTAAGAATATTGATCTCCAGTAACCCATGCTTGTCGTAAGAGGCGACTAACGGGATCGGGTGGTCAGGCTCGCTGACTTGGTTGACACATGTCATCTTATCCCAATTGTGTAGATCGATGTTCATGCTGTTGATCAGTGGATTGTCTGGTCCAGACTCGATTATTTACAGACCGCCGCCATATAGCTGGAATATTGCTGAGTGTGGCGTAAAATTCAACTCACTAACTGACTAGTAACTATTTGGCGCGTTTTGATATGAAGAAAGACCGGGAGCGGTTGTATGACAAGATAGTAAACTGGATGTAGAACAGAAAATCACAAAGGAATTGTTGCTGGCCCTTCGAGAACACCCGGTGTCATTACTGATGATATTAATTTTTAACGAGAACACACATTTTAACTCTTCATTAAACCTCTTTCCACATACACTCGAACACTCTACTACCAGCAATTTGTTTTGGACTGGTCTAAAAATAGCCATCCAATCAAATTGCACGATAAGGCACTCTCCTACAGGCATCCTATAGACCTAAGCTGGGCCCCGTCTCGCATATCGGAATGTACTCGATATAGCCAATATCGAACGTTGGCCTCGAGGTCCGGGAACCATACTATAGACCATTCTTAAATATGCATGACCCGAGGTCAAATCGAAATGGCTTAAACCTCGAAAAGGAAAGATTACTGCTGTGTGCCTTTGCGTTGGAGTGATGCCCGTAAGGATTTTACAGTATCTTTTCACCATATTCCCAAGAATAAGATCATAAGAAGGCAGTGGTTGACGAAAATACGGAGATCCTGGAAAATTATTCATAGTAAGTACAAAATAATTACGGCACATGGCATAGTCTAGATCTGCCGTGAAATGTACAAACTGTTCACTATGCAAGGTTTTAATATTTAGGACACATGTACAATGTGAATGTCGCACACAGACACATTCAACCCCACCCACACACCCACACACACATTGTCATGTTCAAAATCAGTGACCACCCCCTAGTTCATATGTACACAATTGACCCTGCCCCCTGCCTCCCAAAACAAACTGGGAGACACCCCGACCCCCACAAACACCGCACCTAAAAAATCATCATCACACCCCTAGTCATAAATTATGAACGGTCCATTATATTATTTGTTTTAAAGCATATGGACATATGGAGACACTCTTGTCATGATGGCAAGGGAATTTTATTTGCAAATATTCTGTATCAGTGAAATTTGATTGGCTGCAAATCAAAGTAACATTTCAAGTACATGTATATGCAGGACACACACATGCTGTTAAAAAAAATCTTAAATATGTACTTTCAAAATTACTGCATGCTGACCAGTACTTCAGGGATACA